AGCAGACACGCTTATTAAAGGTGGTTTTGTTTCCAATCAGTATCAATCTGTTCATGACATTAACCAACTAAAATGATGTAATATTATCTTTTTCTATTTTATTGCTACCCATAACTGATCCTGTTTGCCTCAAATTGCTGAACTTTATTTAATTTGGGCTGGAGACATAAAATGCAGAAAATGAAATTAAACAAGTTGACCCAAAAATGCAAACATTCTCTCAGTGATTAAAACAGTCAGTCACTGTATTTGAATTAATATTCACATCACACCTGTAAAAATCATCATATTTATGAAAAGAAACACTTAAAGGTCACTGTAAGAGAATTTGTCAAAGTATTAATAATTTAGATCCTGTCTGCAAAATTTGTATTTCATAGGATTTTTCTGTGTGGATTTTCTCACTTTTTCCCACCTTCACCCGTCTCTCTTCTTTGAATGCCCCATTGCACCCACCTTCGTCAGGCATAAGCTGGACGGAGATTGAGCTGTATGTAAATCAATTTGGAGCACAGCTATATGTGGAAATAGAATTAGTCTTGTCAGCCACACCTCTTTAGATACTCCTCTTCCTCTCACTCTCCTTCTGTAGAAGTGAGCTCTTTTCTTTCCTTTTTTTATAAGTAGCAGCCATAGGAAGGCTTTCGGGTTGATTTGTGGGGGAGAGAGGATTAAAAGGAATCACTGAAGTTAGCAGTCTTCAAAGGAAGCAGAGAGACTGCTGGAGGATTCTTCTCAAATGGTTTCATGCTCAAGGGGATTTGTGGAATGATGAATTATTACATGAGGCATAGACTCACATATATGTAAATAAGTCTCAACACCAGCACATTACATCTGCACACAGCATTGAACTCTGGATGCCAAAGAGAGAGAGAGAGAGAGAGGGAGATTATATGAAATAACACTGATTTGCGTAAATACCAAGTTGTATGTCTGGTTTCAGCTTCATTGATTTTGCCACATCAGCGAGGTTAGTTTTGTTGTTCTACACCAATTCTCATTAAAGTGCCTTCTTCGTTCAGTTCCATCAGCCACAATCTGAAATATGACAGAAATCCTGTGTGTACGTTTATTTCATTTGTCAGAGAAAAACAGAAAGCTTTGCTGTGCTCTCTTCTAATCAGTTTTTTCTGCCGTCCTTGTCAGTGGCACCCTTACATTGTGCTACTTGTGTATATTTGGAACACATACAGTAGCTGTTGTGAAGGATACATTTTATGTTAGCAATCCACTTGTTTCAGGCTGAAAGGGAATGAGAATGCGGAGCGGGTTGCTAGAAAATATGAAAGATCACTGGATGAAGGTTTTGTATCAGCTATTGCAGCCATACGTGTTCCTGCAAAAAACGTGTGGGTGATTTGTAAGCCTTTTCCAAATAGTGAATCACACATATGTATATCCAAAGATCCCAAATATACCATAAGAGTGACTGTGCGCGTTCATGGTTGTGTGTCTTGTTTGTCACTGTGATACATTGAAAACCTTTGCAGGGGGGCACCTCGTGTTTTGCCCAGTTACAGCTTTGTTTGCAAGACCACCATCACCCTTGGTTACATAAAGCCAATATGGAAAATTGATTGCTGCTTGGATGGAAAATCTGCATGAGCAGCAAACTAGGTTCAATATATATATTTTTTTTGTTTTGATTTTTTTCCCATTCATTTCTTTATTAAACCATCAATGATTCATGCAGAAAATTGATCTCCAGAAAAGCTTAATTAAGTCTGGCTAGCTGTTTGTAAGGTTTAAGATAAAAGCTTTTTTAAAGATATTATTGTTTAGTTTATTTAAGGCAAATAAAGGTATTTTTGTACCTCCTAGCGGCACTTTTAATGAGCCTGCCACTTATCACTGATAACCTGGGCAACTTTAGGAGCGCTGTTAATTACATGTTGCACTAGGTCTAATGAGCACAACACATGCTCAGTGGCTGTAAATCCATTCTCATTAAACTAAGCATTTATCAGAGAGACATATTTAATTTTTGAGTAACCAAATTGATTTTCTGCCATCTTGTGACTGTCAGCATAAACCAAAAGTTTGCCTCGCGTTCTCAGCCGCTCTGTGTGTGTAACAGCAGGCCCTTATGCATGGTTTTACCTGCTCATGTCGCTCTAAATGTTTGCAACCTGGTGGAACGTTGTGAAACTGATTGTGGGACAATCAGCTGGGTTCAGAGCAAACATCACCAAGACATCCGCTATGGACGGTAAAGGTCCTGTCACAATAGAGTTGCATTTTGACAAGTAGCAGATAGGGATAGAAGAACCGGAAATATTTCATTTTACAATGTGAGCAACTGCAGATTAGTTATACTTCATGCACAGATCATACAAGAGCTACGTTGGCACAGGTACTTTTGCGCCTTGAGGCTCTTCTTGAAACATGAAAGAAGCTATTCAACAATTACAGCAGTGGTGTAAGCTGGCTGATTGAAGCCGAAGCTATCATTTTCCTCACGTGAAATGAGGTCATGTTAAAATAGGAAACAAAATGTGCACATCCATCACACACTCACCCACTTTTGTTCAATTACTGTAATAGATTCCATCACCTGTCTCTTTTAGAATTGAAAACAAGACATGGAGAGTTCACACAAGGTTTCTACTGTGAATTCTGCAGTCAAATTTTTAGACCTCTACTAACCTCCTCTAAATTACACAAAGAAAAGGCCAAAAAGAGGCCTTGAAGAAATAAAAAAAGAGGTTGATCAATACTACAGAGGAAGTATATTAACATGAAAAAATTATTACATTTAAAGTGAGTCAGCATATTTGTTTTCATATTCCTCCTGTTTTAATTTGATTTAAAGATTTAAACGCGGTCAGCAGATCATACAAGCTTTATTAGATTTGAAATAAAATTGTTTTCATCTTCAGATTCAAGTTGACAGTTTTGAAAGGGTTGTAGCATTCCAGCGGCTCTGTTTTATATACTAAGAAATAAAGGGGACATCATTAAGAAAAAACAACATTTTCTTTTTTGTGTTTGACAGAAAATATTTCAATGAAATTATCACAAATTTGTAAACTCAGTAAAACCATATACACATCTGAAAATGTCAGTTAATGCTGCAAATATTCAGCCCTTTTTGCATTACCTATATTTAAATCAAATTTTAGACTATGCCACAGTCTGAACTTTGTAAGTTGAAACCATTGTTCTCTTGCTTTTTTTATTTTCTGCAACTAATGTCAAAGAGGCCACTTAACTGACAGGAATATCTTACCTCTTATTTGCTTTACTTAAAATTCTGAATTCCTGTTTGTCACTGGGTTCAATTTACATGTATGTGAGCGCATTACCTGTGATACCTGTTACATAAACACATATCAGGTAATGTTGCCCATGTTTATATTCATATGATTTTGCTAACTGCTAAAACTATAAGCTGAAATAAGGAAAATAAATTATGAAAATAATTCATTCTGAGTTTTTGCAGTTGATAATAGATGGAGAGATTACAGTGTTAGGTCTCAGCGGTGTTATTAACCAACCAGGTTAGAGTAATTAAATTACACAGACTAAAAAGTGAAAACCCGAGAGGAAGTAAGGGAAGGAGTGGAGTCAAGTGGGTCATTCCACTCCCTAAATGTATCCGCTTGGATAGAAGTGGAAATTAACAGATGAAAAAGGAGCTGGTGTAGGGTCTATGTGTCATTTCAACTGCAGTGCAGCTCCGGGAATTGTGTCAGCGTATGACAAAAAGGGTAGAATATGTTTCTATTTGTCTTTATTTATATGTTAATATAAAAATTCAGATTTACACTGAGGAGATGGCTAAAGGCAAGGGAATATTTTGCTACAGACAAATATTAAAGTGAACATCCATGGCTCCATCATCTGAGTGCTGTTGCCAAACCGTTGATTACAGGGAGATTCCAACATGTTAATCCAGCAGTTTCTCTACAGTTAGGTCATGTGGTATCAGAGGCCAGACTGCTTTAAGATGGCTTTTCCAACATGTCCCCAAAAATACGGCATGAGAGCATTTGTTTGGAATTACCACTCACATGACACTAAATCCAATTTGGAATTAGCTTAACCACAACATCAGATTGTAATTTATGGATTGTGTCTGTTCATCAGCTTTACTTTTAAAACATTGCTTCTGGTAGTTCAGTATAATCGTATAAAAATGCTGGGATTTTCACATTTAGCAGGCACAGCCCTCTGATGTGTCATTCAATTTTAATGAGACATAGCATGGTACAGTGATTACTGGCTGTTATCAGATTGGTTTAGAGGTAGCTAATGGTATGATAAGGCACATTAAGCCATAATAAGTATTTAATTAAGTTAAATGTGTTCAAGCTCGGGGCACAGATGACTGATCCTTTTTTAAAAAGGTCATCAAAGATTAACTTTACACATAAAGAAGAAGATATTAAATGTTTCAGGATTATTAGATTTATTGGAATGACCCATTTTCAACTTTTCAAATCTTTGGTTCAGAGATGACCTTTGAGATGGGACCAACTTTGAATGATATGTGTCACTTCTGCTGCATCCTGATCCTCTCCTTCCTCTTGTCTTTTTCTGTATGACTTTGCTCAGCTCAGTGCTGCATCCCAATCGAAACCGTGTCTTCACTGTATTGGAATACATTTCTACATGCTCACTCTCTTCCTGAGACCATACTGCATGATTTTAGTCAGATGAGGCAGTTGCAAAAAATGGGTGTTCTTCCTGTTCCTTTGCCAGTGCACAGGGTGGAGCTCACTGTGTCCATCTGTTCACAGTTTAATATAAATATCCGCATATACTCATATGTATAAGATTATGGCCCCAGCAGGGATTCAACCTAACCTGAATGCCAGAGGATTAAACAGCACATAAAAATCATCCGATAGATTTACAGAAATCAAATATTTCATCAACAGCTTCCTGCAAAGGCTTCTCAGCAGGTCCATAAAATGCTCCTTTTGCTAAATTATGCAAATTGTGTTGGTGGAAAAAGAAAGTTTTGATATCTTCTCTCTTTGTACACTTCCCAGGGGTCTGTTTGCAAGCCACTACACTGAGACACATTACAGGGAGGATGGAAGTGCAGTCACCGGGGCTCACAACTTCACGGTATGGTGGTACTAAAATGTGGAAGTGATTTGTGGTCATGTCAAGTACAGAGATTTTTGCTGTTGTACTGTATAAAGATGTCCAAGGAGAAAGACTTAGAGAGGACACATCTTTGTAAATCGAAGCATTAGCTGAAAATAGATTATCGCTGAAAATAGTGTAGAATGTGATTGCTTCAGTTTGGCCTATTGTGCATTTGAAAGCCTCACACAGTTGCAATCCAGTGGCCTACATGATGATAATCTCTGCTTTTTTAATGTTTTTTCCCCCTGGATTGCCATCAGGATTTGTCATTAAATCTCTTTAGGCTTGCTGTTTGCTTTGTTCCTTATGTTTGTAAGCCATGGGCAGCAAAGTGCTCAGAGAAATGCCTCTGGTGTTGCCAGGGTTCAGTTTTTTCTTTTTTTGTGCAACAGTTGATTGTTTTTTTGCTCTTTTACACCCCACTTTGGCTGAAATTATGATGTTTGACTGAACAGATGCACAGACAGTCATTTTGCAGGGACTGACAATCCAGTATCTCACAAAGCTGTGCGATCCCCAGTCTGCCTACTGTCTTTCTTACCTTTAATTTTGTACGAGATAATTTGACAAATATTAGACTGCTTCATTGTCTTAAATAGGACTGCACACTGACATTACCTGCTGCTCCTGACCTCAGTAATCTGTCATGTGGTAATCGGGGATCAGTGGACAGGTATAAACTGTAAACATATCAACTCTACCACACATCTATTAAATAAATGACATTCCCACAGCTATGATCAGATTTTAGAAAGCTGAAAGCAAATGGCAGAGTTTTGAAAACAATAATCCAGCCCTCCTCCCTCTCAGTAGATGATCACAAGCATATGCATGTACCTCATATCCGCTAAAAATAGATGTCAGTTGATGGGATTTAAACCCCTTGGATGTGAAAAAAAAACATTCTGACCCATTCAGGCTCCACATCCTGCCCCTCTCAGGGGCTTTTTTGCTGTACAGACTGACCTCATCCGGAAAAGAAAAGACTTAGATTTGGCCAAATTCGCCTGTAATGGGCCTGATGTTCTGAAGCCAGAAGTCTGGCTTCCACTTATACCCTTTGAAAGACAGTCATCACCGTTGCTTGAGGTTTTTTGTTGGGAAACGTGAACCAATCTAGGTCAAGCTAAACAGAGTCTTTGTTCTTCTTCTATTTTTATACTAATGAATCTGGGCTCCATTACTACCTACCTCACTAACATACATGTGACTTCCCAAAGGGAAGCGTTTCCTCCTGGTACTACTATTTGAGATGAGAAATGGCCAATTGCTTACTTGTGGCAATTAAGTTAAGAGGCCTGGAGAGCTGCTTGACAGTAAATGGAGGTCTGTGTTTCTTTCTCTTGACAGTCCTTCCTTCTGCTGTCCTTATGCTCAGATATCAGACATATTTGACAGAAAAGCTTTAAATGCGTCTTTTTCCTCTGCCCCACTTGTCTGATCGAAAGATGAGGGGATAAGCTATTAACATATTACTGTCACCTTGGAGGTATGATAGCTTTCCTGTCTCTACCTCAGCTGTGCAGACTGAGTTAATTTCAAACGGGTTATCTATGAGGAGGTTGGGGGAGGAGGGACGGCTCTACAGAGAATCCTAATTGAAATGAACATGTATTGAGCAGCATCAGCATAGTTCCAATGTGTCTTATCCTCTTTGGCTGTTTTGAAGTCGGGCTGGAGCTACAGTACCGCGACAGGAAATGTGACAAGCAGCACTGCGTTGCTGTTTGTTTTGTTTAGTTTTTTAGTCGAGTGGCTAAAGCTGTCGTTTTATGAAGTGTTTTCATTTCCAGCATGCTACAGCTTTATTAAAAACCTTTTATATGTCTCTTTTCTGTTGTTTTTATTTTTAGAATAACTGCTACTACCACGGGGAAGTGCAGGAGCATCCGAACTCTGATGTTACTGTCAGTGTCTGCTCGGGCCTTCGGTGAGAAAGACAACAATCACATTTAGTATTCAAAAGCACCCTTGTGCTATTTACCACCACAGAGTTTGTATTTACTTAAGTCACTTTGCACAGCAGACCATCGATTCTCTACCTCCTTAAGGGTGCTGTCAGTTAGTCGGTAAGGCTTGCAAGAACAATGGAAAATGTCACACTCAGAGAATTCAAATGATAATCTTCTTTCATTTTTGGCTGTAATTTGCATCTCACTGTTTTTCATGACTGATCACAATTAGAAGTTTACTGAAGTGGCCTTTAGCTAACTTGCAGGGTCCAGAATTTTATCTCCTGTTCAATAAATCTGCATCAAAGCAAAGTCTAGCTTAGTTTGCTTTGACAAACTTTTATCATTACAGGAACCGCCTATGAAATAGAACATTTAATCATCTTTAGAATCTATTCTCGATCTGACGTTAAAGATGTAATCATTTCTGCGAAGGAGTTCACATGAAGAATCTTGGTTTTTCATCTGTCATTTGCTGGGTTTTGAATGTGCCGGAGCTTATATCCATAAATCCACATAGAGTTTTAATTACAATGATCTGTGAAATGATAAAAAAAATATGTTTCATAGTTTAATTTTTCCTCAGAAAACTGGGCTCGTATTAAATAGCACCTCAGTTGTCATTAAAGTACGCTACATTCAATCAGATTCTGCCTTGCTTTGAAGCTTTGTTTTCTTACTGTTGATTCTGCAGAGGCTTCATCGCAATTGAAAACAAAACATTTATCATCGAGCCTCTCAATGGTCATGACACTGGGGCCCACTTCATATTCCGAGTGGAGGAGCTGAGTCTGGCCCCTGGAGCCTGCGGCCATGGTTTTAACTTGTCGTCTGTTGCCCCTGAAAACCACATCAGAACTCCCTTCCAGTCCTTCCATACGCGGGTAAGATTACAGTATTGCCTTTTTCCCAGAACACAGCCATCAATAATCACATTCAAACTTAGCGTATGATTTATTCACCAAATATTACTGAATTATCTATGAGTCAAAGTTACATGGTTATTCAACCAGTTATGAAAATATTGGCAAGAACTCAAATTTTGCGAAGATTCCCTTGGGATGCTGCTTTGGGTTTGACATTTATTTAATCTGTGTTAAGAGCCCTGAGCCCAGGTACCTGAGTTTAGCTTTGATTGTGAAGACTCACGTTTGTGTTAGCGGGTTGGGGGACTGAACGAGAATGTAAAGACCTGGCATGCTTTTGAGTGATGTCCGGGATTCTATACATAAAGATGTGGCTCAATGGAAACTTTGTTTAGTAGTAAAAAAACAAACAATTTATAGGAGATGTGCTAATTATTTGTCATGCTAGAATTTTGCTTCATATTTATTCCAAATGCTTGAGACATACAACAATACAATGGTTAGATATCATGTCCTTGAGAGGATCGAGAAGGGGGGAAAACCCTTACATGTCAACCTAACTAATGAACATTTCTGTTTGTATTTTTAACCTCAGCATAAAAGGCATACTCAGAAGACAACCAAGTATGTTGAGCTGATCATTGTTGCGGACAACAGAGAGGTAATGCACCTTCTTTTCCTCCAATTCAGTTTTTAAATACAAATATGAGGCTGTGAAAAGCAGCAACATCTCATGATGTGCACAGAAAAAAACAGCTAAAGTTGAGTAGATCCCTGTGGAGCTGCCGAAGGAGGAGGGTGTGCAAAAACTGCTGTGGTCCTGTGGCAGCAGATTTTTTTTCTGACAGGAAGTTCTGTTTTCAGTTCCCCTGTGGAGCAGAAAGGAAACAGGAAAAAGCATGTGGATATAGAAGAGTCTCCCGTAAGCACTGTCAAGCTCACTGTGGGGTTTCCCCCTGACAGCCGTGTTATATGCCATGACCTGAAAGAAAAAAATTTAATAAGATTAACAATGAAAAAAAAATCGGGGCTCAAATCTGAAGTCCTGCATCGATGTAAAAGAACACACGGCAGAGTTCAAATAAACAGTCTGATTTGATTTCAGTTTGGATTCCAAGCATGCACCATGCCATATCTACCAATGCACCTGCTCCCTCCAGGCCAGACATTCATCTTTATAATACTGGGAGATTTTTCTCAGTACAGATAGCCATAGCTACATTTTCCTGTGAACATTTCAACGGAAAAATGCTGCCTTTGCATGTATGCTGTGGTATTTCATGGCTTTTAGCTCAGAAAGTGATGGTGTTGTTTATGCAGTCATGAAATACCTATCAGTTCCATTTTTTTCTACTGATCTACTGTACCATTTTCTTTTCAGTTTCAGAAACAGGGAAAGGACTTGGAAAAAGTGAAACAGCGACTGGCAGAGATAGCCAATTATGTGGACAAGGTAAAATGTCCTCTCTGCTCTCAATGGGGGATACATCACTTTTTATATAGAAATATTGTTGGTGGCAGAGATTAATGGGATGGATGTGGGATGTATTAATCTCCCCCTAAAACAGCTGCCTTAGACCCAAACCAGAGACTCTGATCTATAGCTTGAAGACACAGTGAGCATATGGGTTCACTATAAGGAGAAGTGTCTATAAATGATGGAAGGTTATAAGTTATGTTAGATAGTGAATAGTGAAATTTGTGAATTGAATCATTGGAGGCAGATTTTATAATTCTACTATCATCATCTCCACTCTAACTCTTTTTGTTTACCGACATGTTTTCTTTTAGTTCTACAGAGCCCTCAACATCCGGGTGGCTCTGGTGGGTCTGGAGGTGTGGAGTGATTCTGATAAATGTCCCATCACTCAAGATCCTTTCACCACCCTGCATGAGTTCCTGGACTGGAGAAAAGTGAAACTGCTGCCACAGAAGCCTCATGACAACGCTCAGCTAATAAGGTGAACTTTAAATTAGAGACAGGAAACTGGACTCAAACTGAAAAACTTACATGGATCCAGTCAGTAGCCCCTCCTCAGTTAAATGAGCAAGCTAACAGCCTTTAATAAGCTTCAGCAAAAATGTAAATGTTAAACTCTGCCTAATCTTCACTATACTGCAGCTTTCTGACAATTAAGGGTCTTTCTTTCTGCATCAAAAAGAGGAAAGAATTTGGTTTGTCAAAAAAGATGACCGAAAGTATTTTGTTCTGCTCTCCATTTGTTGCCACAACACAATAAAATACAGTGACCAGTTTGTTTTACCATCTGAATCTGACAAAAAAGTCTGCATATTAAGTCAAAAGAACCTTTTGTCAAACTTAATTTTATGGAGGTAAAGCTGGATTCATTTATAGCTCATAAATTAAGAGTAATTTATCAAACTCCGAAGTCACCTCAGGAGAGTCGTCACATCTGTCACCTGTTCGGTGGTGCTCGATTATTCTAAAATCACTTACATTTTCAATGCAGCTGCTATTTTCTAGACTGCAGTAAAAAAAACACGCCTGTCACTGGGGACTTGAAATGTATTTGCAACAGCAGCAGTAACGATGAACACACAACCAGAAAGTTGAAACCTTTTAACATTTTAGTCCCATTTTTCTGTCCTTTCCAGTGGGGTTTACTTCCAGGGCACCACCATCGGCATGGCGCCCATTATGAGCATGTGCACGGTGGAGCAGTCCGGAGGCATTGTCATGGTGCGTTTAAGTTCCTCTCACAAGCATCTGTTCTCTTTTTTCCTCCTTGTAGCTCGATTGTATCAGCGTAGACATTGTCCAGATTCAGGAGGCTAACCCAGTCCAGACGTGATTTACTCAGGGAAGGTGTTCGTTGCTTGCTGGAAGGGCACTTACGAACAGGTCTGCCAGGAAGTCATGCATAATAACATAAGGATATTTGTGTTGGCAGTCAGTCAACATTACCACAAACACACACATACACACACACACATGCAGAAAACAATATAGACAAACTCTGATCCAAGGCCATGTGAAATGTTGCTGCCCTGCTGTGGGAAGCAGGCAGATGGCTGTCCACTGTGACTCAAATGGGTGTTGAAATTACTGGTTTTGTAGTTTTAGGGTGGGTAGAAGGGTTTGAGGGGCCACTTGGGTAAATCAAAGGCAGTGGCTTTTAAACGCAACCACATTTACATTTTTATGAGATGTGATGAATTGTTTATCTCGGTTCTCAGAGAGCACACATTTGTGGCAGAAAGCCTTTTTAGTCACTACTGTGCAATACACCCAGTACAGAATTACTTCTCATAGTTAATTAGTTGCCTTTTGCAGCACTTGACACCCATGCCAAGTCACAAAGTGGTTATCAACCCAATGCCATTATGCCTCAGCCCAGATGTTTGTCTCCCATTAATAGATGTGAGTTTTGCTGGCCATTGCTGTGATGAGGCTTCTCCAGATGTTTTGTCTTTCCATTACTTGAATAGAGCAGATGGTTTGGATCAAGATTAAAGGGCTGCATACGCAGCGCGACGGCGATCAGAGGAGATGATCTGTTTCTCAAACCATATTCAACCATGTGTTCTGCGGCAGATCTTGTATTTGGTTATTCATTATTTCTCGACTGTGGTACTTGCACCTGTTTTCACATGGATACGGATGTTGTCAGGAAGATTATCAGCGCATTTCTTATTTGTAATCCCTTATGAAATATACGCATGCAGTATATAAGCAGCACTGACAAACACGGCAGGAGTTTTCCCATCCTTCATGGTAAAAGTCAGGGTGCACCTCCCATGGTGTTGCTCTTTAATCAGAGCAGGAAGCGGCTCAGCTGGTGCTCAACTTTTATGGACTAACTTGTTTTCAGCGGAATCATGTAAATCCTGGCACAGAACCACAGGACAGTCTTAAATTAGTCATAGTTTAAATCATTTTCCGATGTAAATCTTGTAGCGTCTAGAACTAGTTAATTTGTAGAATATATCAGCAAAGTGGAAATGGAAAATTTTCAGTTTAAAAAATCTACCATGGCAGACTTGCAATTATGCACATGGCTTAAAGAACATTAGTTTATGTGTAAGAGACGCACATGTAAGACGTCTAATAAGTTTAATCTAACACTCCCTCCGAGTCGCGATGAAAGCTTATATCATTTTTTGAATCACAACACTGATGTCAACACTTTGAACTTCGTTCCACAGATTTTTCCACGTTTTCCAGTGTCACCTTGGCACACACACACACACACACACACAACACTGATTAGATTTCTCGGTCTTCCGGGCCCCCCCAGCTTTCCTGTCCTCTGTCGTCACTATTCGTCTCTGTCTGCCAGGTGAAGGGCAGTTGTCTTGCTTATCAGGCTCGTCAAAAAGTGATAGGTTTATGCAGCTTCCTGCAGCAGCTGTCTCCACTAGCAGTCAGTTTGATTGGGTCTGCAGGGATAATGGAATGGCAGATGAGTTCAGGCCTCCATGAAGAGAGTGATGGAGAAGGTTACTGAGTTGCTATTTTAAAAATTGGGTTATTCTACGTTTGTATTTTACTTGCTTATAACATGGGAATTAGATTCTATGTTCTCAAGATACTGTGAAATGTATTGGATTGCAACCAACTGAGATGTGTGTTGGACACCATTTTTTGCCCATCCCCAGGATCACTCGGAGAACCCACTTGGTGCAGCCGTGACTTTGGCACACGAGTTGGGGCACAACTTCGGCATGAACCACGACACCCCAGAACGCGGATGTGGCTGCAGGATGACTGCTGATCGTGGAGGCTGCATCATGACTCCTTCCACGGGGTGAGATTGTGATGTTATGATGATGGTAACACAGCATTACTGAAGGCAGAGCACAATGTTTTAAAAAGCAGGTGTGTGACTTTTAAGAAAACAAACAAAACAAATAAAAAAGATAAAGCAATAGAGAGCAGATGAACTGTAGTTCAAAATACTACTTAAGAAACTGTCATCGTGATCTCCCAACCTCACTTGGGACGACAGTAAGTTGAGAAATGTGATCCTAATGGAAAAAGACAACTGTGTGCAGAAATGTCACAAGATTGCCGGGACATGAATCTGCAGCCTTTGTGGGGATGTGGTTGTGACTCATATCATTTCTTTTGTTTTGCGTCTTGCAATAAAGGTTTTATAAAATGAAAAAAAGTACACTTGAAATAGGGATTGTATTTGTATTGTTGTTTTAAACTGATTTCTTTGTTTCCTCCTCGCGTTGGTTCTTAGTCTATTGGCCAAAGAACAAATGCATCCAAAGGCTTTAAATCGGAAATGTTTGCTTTCAGGCGTTTAAGTTTAATGTCTTCTTTTGTATCTGCACAGGTCATAAACCAACAAACAACGCAATCCGTATCAGTTGCTTAAGATGGATTATAGTTACGTTTGCTCTCTTTAAATGCTGATTAATGAGAGACGGTTAAAAATACACTCTTTGGCCTGAGACTGAAGCAGCTGCTGTTGTGTTCCACTCCTGTTGCCTGGGTTCCTGAGATAAGAGAGCTGCAGTTAGTGATGGACACTGGGCTTGTCTGTAAACAGTTGGAAGATAAGGAGAACCCAAGGAGCTATCCAGATTTCACCCCTGGTGTAGTCTTTGCCCGCTGGTGAGTCCAACGAGCTGATGAAAGAAAACAAACTGATGAGTGTGATCAGGAAGACGAATAACAAGAGACAGTTAGACGTGGCCCCTGGCAACATTTGTCCCACACATTAATCTTGTGTCCATGGGAGAGATTTGTTCAGCTCAACAGGGTTTCTCCAATCCTGTACTTTAAACATGCTGTTGTAGTTCTGAATTAGATCGAGCTTAACTACAGTTTTTCTACAGAAGGGGACATAGATTTGGTTCCAGATAACTAAATGAAAGTGGCTTTGAAGGAATGTTTGAATGTTCATTATAAACAGTTGGATTGACTACACAAAAAAAGTAGAATTGCGCAGGAGAAAGGAAAAAGCACTGTAATGAAAGATGAAGATATAGTGGATAAACAAGTAAATTCATGAACCGAAATGTCTTCTTTGTGATGCAAATATCAATTAATGACTGTATCCCGACAAGCTTAGCAAGTGCAGATAGATCCATCAATATGTGTGATGAGTCATTGTGCTTCTGTGATTTTACAGACAGCAGCCATCGCTGACTCACTGGATATTGGTTGTCTGTCACTGCCAGTGTATCCATGTATCTTAATCAGCAGGGGGGGGGGGGGCAGACACTGCATCCTTCCTACTGACCAGATAGTGTTCCAATTGCACATGCAATGAGAAAACTATTGAATTATTAAAAGCATCCTCAATAGATATGATTAGTATTTCTTCTATTGAGCCTAATCATCAATATTAGTCTGTTGTCCCCCAGGCAACCTACCATGCGAGTGATCCTCTGCTACTGACGATAGTATAGGCAGATAATCATGTTTAAAGTCTAAAGAAAGTGATTACAACATTTTCATAGAGATGTTTTGCATGTTTGCTCCCGGTTTAATGCTAGTAAAGACGATTGTGATTGATTTAGTTCAGGGAAAATAGAAGGGGATAGTGGTCATAATGGTTTCAATTAGCTATATATCAGAGGTGGTAATGGATGCTGCCAAATCATTTTTCAACTTTATACTGCACTGTAGAGGTCAGTTTTGCAGTGGGAGACTAATTACACACTAATACTAAAAGCAGCTGAAAGCTGTTTTCAATTGCCCTCATGAATCAGTGGCCTTCTCCTGAGAGCATCCCTTAACTGCTATGAAATGAGACGGAAGATGCAATTCATACAAGTAATTACTATAACTATGTATAGAAAAGAAATTACGTTTATCAAAAGATGAAGATGAATAACGAAAACTCTGTTGAACCAGCAGGTTACACAGTGGCAAATGATGATCATTTATGGTTTATTCATAGATTTTTTTTGTTTTAGTTTTTTCTGCTCATTCATGCAGTCACAAGTAATCATATTGTTTACATGTGCATCTGTATAACATTTTAATTCCAGTACATTTATTGTCATTGATCCCTTTTTCCATTTGATGTGGAGGGATTTTTAAAAATGCAGTGATCCATGTTTTTATAACAAATCAGTAATTTAGCATTTATACATCAAGTCCAGCTTCATAGTTAGATAGGAACGTAGTATTGATTTATTCAAGCAAGGAGAACCCACATAGCTGAGGTGTTTGTTTGCATCCCATCAAGGATCCTCCAAGTCCTCTAAGAGATGTAAGTGTTGATTAAAGTATAACTGAGGTCATGATAAAGAACATGAAATACTGTGTGAGACATTATTGATTGAAAAACAGGAAAATAACTATCGTAGAGAGGATGTGTCTTAAGCACCACAAGCACCTCTCGTCTGGCTCAGCACTTCAACTACACTTTGTGTTTAATATTTTTCACCTTCTCGACTTGAGCTTTTGGCAGCTTTACTATCATGTCAGTTTTTAAAGATGCAGAACAAAGAGATTGCAACATTTGGCCATCAGAAAGCCAAATGCTGATGTTACATGTGCAGATGTAAGGAAGCAGAAATGCCTGATGAATATTACAATGCATAGGCACCCTTGCCAACTCCTTATAAATTTCTTATGGCTTTCTCTCTTTCTGCATTACGTGGATGTAATGGAAATATGTTTGATTATCTCTGTGTACTTTTTATTCCAGAAATGTCATTTTTCTATGATTGCTTAGCTCATAAAAAGGTCCTTTCATTGATTTAATTTTTATTCAAATATGAATTTTATGGTTGAGCGTAGGACTGTTGTCTAGACAGTGTTGTATCTTGATCCAATCAGTTTTGCAGCATCATGATCTGAACCTCCAAGCTCATAGTCTTCCATTTGTTTTTGTTTTTTGCCACAGCTTCTGAGTCAGCTCCAGAAATGAAATTATGAATTTACTGAGTTCAAGCTCTACTCAGCCGGTTATCTCCCAAATTGAATTTCCTGACATATCGGCCTGAATTCAGTGTCCTGTTGACCAAACCAGTATGTGTACAAGCCACCGTAGAACTCGTATACCCCACCACAGATTGGGTTTTCTTTTTTAATAAAAAAAAATAAGAGGTTTATTTATATTGCGACTGCCGCCTTTGACTTTCCCTCCAAATGTTTTTGGAATGTTAAACACATAGTTGAAAGTGTAGTTGGTTTCAGTGTGTGTCTTGGATACGCTGAGCTTAGACTTGCTAATGGAGGAGAGGACAGGCTGCATCTAAATGATGTGATTATCAGTGACGCTGCCAGCTGCAATCAGGGCCAGAGCCGGTGGAGAGAGATCCGCTGAGAGGTGCTTTGTGCCTCCATAGACAGGCGGAGTGCAGATGCTGTAGTTTTGTTTGTTCTCTTTTTTTTCTTTTGTTGTAACACATGAATGGAAGCACAAAGAATAAGATAAACAGTCTAAACACGACCATTGTGGAATTATTTCTGACACGCATGGAAAATTCTGCCCAGCATATGAACCACAAAGCCCGGCCATGAGAGGTTTGTGACTCGGCAACAGGTGAATTTCTGAGAGAAAAACAGTCTATATGGTTGTTTTGAAGTTGAGTTAAGAGTTGCATCATGGAAACAGAAGTGTTTTCCTCTATCTGTCTCTGTGATTCTTTGTGTAACTGGGCAGAAAGATTTAGCACAGGTCTTTTTTCTCGTTCTTTTTTTCCCCCCTTTTTAATCACTATAGGCGCCTGGCTGTGTTGCAGCCTGACATTTTGTGAAAGGTCAAACGTGTCTCTCCTGCTTAGGGTGGACTAAATGCACTTCAGTCTCAGCAGCATCTTAGAAAGCAATAAAGACAATCTGGTGTGGGTCGGGGGGCTTCAAAAAGAGGAGTCCTTTAAAGCTTTTATCTAACCATTTCCTGTAATGTCCACAATCCTTCTTTAATTTTAATCCAGACTGATTTTTCCAAATTTTGCAAACTTGGACTGATTATATGACAGTTTATGAGATTATTTGGTCTCCTGACTCTGGCAATGCAAGTCACAACTAAAACGCTGCCTCTCTGTTTCCGCAGTGGCAGGGACGAAAGGCAGAAATCACAAGAGCGCACTTAGTTTGTTCTGGAAGTCACAGAAACACTCAAATCGCATTAGATCTGATTTGTTTTCTTAACTAAATATTATGGAAATTGTTCAGCTTGTGCACAGTGAGGTTTTTTTCTGATTCAGTAATATATTAAAAAGTCTTTACAAATAGTTTAAGACGTTCAACCTTGGCTTGCCCCAATTCTTTTCACTATTGAGTTTCTAGGATTTGGTATTTGTTATTTTTATTTGATTTGCACTACATCCAAAGAGAGTCAGTTTGTGTTCATTTCTACAGTTCGTCCCTTTAAAAAACACCAATAGTCTGTTTGTTGTGATGCTCTTCATCCTGGCAGCACTTAGTTTCTCCTTCTTAACATAGATGAGTGAGGATGCTATTAACATTCATCGTTGGTTTAGGAACAGTTGCTGAAATCATAGCAGATCTTTATTTTTCCTTTTGTCTGTCAGAAGTCAGACTACTGCACCTTTTCCTGTCTGAGGAGAGAACAGACTCACGAGGCCATGGAACTCTGACGAGATATAGATCTGCAAAAGTGTGTCTTATCCGCAGTAGAACCGACTTGCCTTTTAAATGTTAATGACAGTCCACAGTAATTAGATTTTGTGTAACTGTTGAACACAGCTAAATTAGTTCCACCTCAGCAGTGTACACCTGGAGAGGGTGCAGGGCACTAAACCAATATTATCCAGGGAAAACTACACTCTTTGCTTGGCTAATTTCCTGGACAGCAGAGCAGCTGTGTGTCCTCAGCTGTGATAATATACAACATTTAGATCTGCTCATTGGAGCTATTCCTATTTTAGATTTGTTGAAACTGGGTGAAAGGGATTCCAAAAGACATTTTCTTATCTATCCTAACTTTGTTAGCCATATAATCTTTTGATTGAGATAGAAATAACAATAATATCAATAACAATAGCAATGGTAATAATAATTATAATAACCATCATGTTCATAAACCGGAACATTTATGTAATTTAGTTTTTTTCTGTTGGCGTTAATTTTCTCTCTCCTGCCAATAGTTGCTGACATTCTACCGATGGCAAAACCAAAACTCTTGAAATTCATCGAGGAGTCTTTAATTTGTGCTCATTTGAGTCTGGACAGGATTTACCTTGAGCATACCAGCTCTACTTCATGAGGATCTGCAGTAGATGGTGGGTGACAGAGATATCCTCGCAGCATCCCTGGGCACCCAGTAAGGCTGACGCTGCATCTGTTACCATGATTGTGTGGGCAGCTGTTACTTGGAGTAGTGTCAGCTGCAGATTAGAGGTGCAGCTCAATTATCAAAGTCCTGTTGATACACAATCACCGACTGCAGCAGACGCCAGTTGAAGGTGGATCGTTTAAGGAATTATCTCAGTACTTCAGATGCAGCATACGGTGCAATCATATAGATAACAGAACACATCCGATTTTTTTATGTTTGAATTTAAGTCACTTTTTCTTAAACCCATAAGTAAGATAAGTAAGCAGCACATGATGAGATGTGTCCTTTATTCATACTTTTTAAAATTAAATCAATTGTCTGCCAAAGGAAGTTCCAAACATTTACCGTCTGTTTTTTCAATGTGAGTGTGATTTGATGTAAGAAAAATATTATTTTTCTCCAGGAGAAAATGCAGCTGATCTACCTTTACCATTTGTGCAAGTTTATTAAGGAAAGACTCGGTTCACCTCCCATGGACAATCCACATCCTTTTCCAAAGCGTGCCTCTGTTTTTTTTTATCAGCAGTAAGCCTGCTATCTACAATGATTTTTGTTCAATCTGAATCATCTGCCCTTGATTTCATGCACTGGTCTCTATACACAGGACCCCAAAGCTCTTTGTGTGAGTCCACGCAGCGTTTTTTGACTAGATTATGCCAGCCGGCAAAGACAGGCAGACTGGACTGTGAAAGATTAAAAAGCGGCTGGCATTCTAAGGTGTGGACCGCATGAGTGAAATGGAGGCAGCACTTTCACCCACGGGTGTCTGTTAGGAGAGGATGTTTTACTGTGTTCTTCAGAAATATGTTTTCCTTTGGGGAAGAAATCGTCCGATTTGCTTTCCATTGAATGTCTCCACTGTAATCTGCAGACCCGTCAGGAGGAGCCTCACTATAGTCATTTAATAGCAGTGAAATATCCATAGCCAAACCCCCCTCAGGCAAAGGCAAAAACATCACACATTCCTCCTCCCGCTTATATCCAATGGCATGCTCCACAAACATATTTTGTATCATGTTAAAAATTTCACAAATCTGCCCCGTCAAGCCTCCAGCTTTGCAGTGTCCTCATCCCGATGCCTTTGAAGACCTCGGCCAGTCAGCCAGTCTGCATAAGCATGTGTATGATATGTTTCTGTCTGAACTCGACCCAGCCAGTGCCAGTTTCCTCTCTTTCTCTGCCATTCCTGTCTATCCTCCGTGCTAGCCATTGCTCCCTGTCACCCCGCATCCTCTTTTTGAGGTGAGACCATGTCCCACAAGGACCGTTTTTTACCTCAAGCCTTCTTTTGTCTGTTTCTTTTTGTGTTGCTGTCTATGTTCGACAGTCTGGAAGATCAGGATCAATGAGCATAATCGAATATTGAATATAATATCAAAACATTCAGTATTGCGATATAATATAAAGTAGAGTTGTTGCATGTGTCTCACACTGACTGTTTTGCTGTTTGTTTTTCTCGTATAAAACTTGAGGGGTTAAAATCACAATACCAGGGTTAGAATTTAATGAGTGCACGTATATTCCAAGTATGATGTAAATAATTAGCAAATCTATCGTTCAGTAATAAACCACATGTTGCTAAGAGCAAAACCATCTTGCACAAACCAAGAGATCAAACTGTTCATGAATTTTTTATTTTATTTAGTTGTCTTAATTCTTATCTGTTTGTTTTTCTTATATGCTTTTCTGTTTGCAACTATTGTCATTATTTGAATGTGTAGTTTTTTGTACTTCTTTCTTTCTTACCCTTTCACATCGCTTCAAAATCACTTCGTGTTTTTCTTTTTTAATATTTTTATTGTCTTTGATATATTGAATCTGTCGCTTTCACGGATAAGTGGGGATCTCAATAGTTATGATTATTTTGCTATGGATGACATGCAGTGACAGAAAAATTCTCACTCCATCTTGCAGTGCTTGTCATTCCAAAATGAAACAGTTACCAAACTTCACAGAGATTGTCTAAGTTTTCTGTGGCCCCAGTATAGAAAGATTTCAGAATCTCTGGGGAGGCCTTGAAGTGCTTCAGCAGTGTCAGGTCGTAAAACTCACACTGTCTAGCTTTTCCTTTTTTTGAGCTTGCATGCGGTCAGTCCAGGTCAGTGCCTCACCTGCCTGTGGCTGCTTTCCCATTTCGGAGGCTTTTGCCAATCCAGTCAGAAAGTTATTTTATTGTTCCTGTATAAGAAGTCAGTAAGGACCACAATTTTTTTCCTGAAAAACCCTTCCATAAGTGTCTTTTTTTTGCGTATTAAACTGTATCATCTTATTACTTGTCTGTAAATTGAGCTGTTGTTTTGCTATTTATCCCTTTTTAACCTAAAGCATTTGTGGTTATTCTCAAAGAGGACGGTCCTTCTCTCAACCCTCACAGCTTTTATTGCCAGTTTTGCAGTTTCATCTTTGAATGTCATAGCGTTATTTTAGTAAGAAATGTCTTTCCAAATACGATGTTAGTCAGTACTTCACATTAATGATACTTAGGAATTGAATTAATGTAGCTAAAATGACATGGTTTAAGGCTAGCTATTTTGGAAAATATGCATATTTACACATACTCCTCCTCATTCAAAATAACACTCTTCCCTCTAGTCAGTTGCTTAAATTGGTCAATTTCAACCTGGGTATTCCTCTTGAAAATGTAGCTGCTAGAACAAAATATATATTTTGGGTTTTAAATTAATCTGAAATTGCCACTTGAATGAAAACCTTGACAACTAACTGTAGGGAATCATTTGAAATTTTTTTTTTTTCATTCTTTTAGGGATGTGGTGTCATCTCTATTCATTCTCTTCATTTTGTTCATCCTCTTCTCTTGTAGGTATCCCTTCCCAACGGTGTTTAGCACATGCAGCAAGAAGGACCTTGCGGCCAGTCTGGAGAAAGGTGTGGGAATGTGTCTGTACAACATGCCGGAGGTCAAGGTGCTCTATGGAGGACAGAAATGCGGCAATGGCTATGTGGAGGAGGGAGAAGAGTGTGACTGTGGGGAACCAGAGGTATAATCATCCTTGCTTGCTCTAGTGGAGTGGATCTGTCTCCACCACAGTAATAGTCGTACTTATAGTACATTTAGTCGCTCTGTGCAACTGAATGTTCAACTGTTTGGTGAAAAGAAATCAAGTCTATTGGTCCCACACAAGAATATATTTAATATATATTGAATATATTGAAAACATTTTCAGAATGTATCAGAAATAATTAAAAGACAGCCCAAAGGGTCTCATTTTAACTGCAAAGCATCTTCTAAAATGACTATGTTTTTACCTGAAGGTAAAAAAACTCTCCCTCACAGACTGCTGGATGCCATCCTGTGGGCAAACAGCCAGAGCAACTGAGAGTCTCAATAAGTCACCAAAAACGCTGCTAACAGACTATACAAACTTCAAGTCAAACCTTCTCTTGACACTGACATATTTATAGCGACTCGAAAGCACTAGAACATCCCGTGCTTAAAAAATGAAAAAGAAACCTCTGGAAGGCACTCAAGTTGTCAAGTATAAAAGTTGACTATATTTACATCACACCGTCTCTCGTCATTCTGCCTCAGTGATGTCATGTTCTTGTTGAAGGCTCACTAAACAAATCACTGTCTAAGTGCGTGACAAAGCAACTGTGTAATGGGGTCAACGCTGGAAAGAGCTTTCCTTGGCTATGTGATCATCACGAGTGGGCTCCTTCTATCTGTTTCTTGTTCTTGTGCACTGCAAAACACCCGAGGATGTGACATGAGATTTGCATGTGGGAAGCAGCCAAGACAGATGCATATGTCAAAAGATCGAAATGTGTCTGGGAATCTTTTCCTAGAGAATGATACGCAGTTGTAGAAACAGCTGGACCTGACACGCATTTCTATTCTTATATTTGCATATGATCCTCTCAGTACTTTGTGAATATCTGTGTTAGTTCAGCTTTGACATTTGTAAGAAACATAGTACCAGTCATCAGTGAGTCAAGCTCATAGGCTGAGAGCAGTGTTTGTCTTCAGTAGACTGAGAAAACAGAAATGCCAGAGATCATAGCAGCAGTCTTATTTCTGTTCAGGGCTTGTAGCTGTAATCTTTCAGAGGATATGAAGTGTTATTTAAATGTGGTCAGAAAAAACTGGAAAAAGAAATACAAATTTTGGCAAAAAAGCGAAAATTTAAATGAATGAAATCTTGACCGGGAGTATTTTCCGAAAACATTATAGGATCAGGTCCTCAGGAGAGATGCCTTTGTTGCCTTGTAAAAATATGTTTTTTTTTCCCACGAATAAGTAGGATTTTTAAGCTGAGATTTTAAACCTCAACAGTGTGTCTTACTATTTAGGTGGGAAGAGTTACAGCATTCTTTTAGAAGGTGGTATTCTAGCGGAGCCTTTGTGTTCAACAAACTGTATAGTTCTCATTTGCCAACTCCACCTCTGCCTGTGTGCAAATCTAGGATTTCACTGCGTAGCTTGTTTGATCTGCCAGCTCTCTTAGATGTAGACGAGAGCAGCCTTTCCTCTCTTGTTTAAACAATGGGCTGACACTAGAACCAGAATGTAAACACCAAATGGGGAAATGAGACAGAAAACTAGATGTATAACAATTAAGTTGCCAGCCCCCAACACATGTCTCAATGTGTTACTCTTCACCCCTAATTTTGTGGGTAATCACATCCATACACTCCTCTTTACAAGGCCAAACTTCTTGAGAATTTCCTAATCTAAAACACATGGGCTTAAGTTCAAACCTCCGTTTCAAGGGTCCAGAGGTCAGGCCAGGAATCTCCAGACAGGAAGCGTCCTCCACTGACCCGAAGCTCTCCCATCTATGAAGAACAAGCGTGCAGATCTTCAGAGCAGCGACCAGGTCCACATGCCGTAACCTACATTGTTTTCCTTCCTGTGTTTCAGGAGTGCATGAACCCGTGCTGTAACGCCACAACATGCACCCTGAAGGGAGACGCGGTGTGTGCCCATGGACAGTGCTGTGAAGATTGTAAGGTGAGAGTTTCCATACAGGACTGGGTTTCTCACTCACATTATCCTTTCAGTATTTCCAGTGGTAAGAGACCATTCGTTTCTTTAAATACAGTTTGACCTGACAAACTGCCTTGCAATTTCATTAACTAGTCTGCACAAATAGTCTCTTGAAGGACATTCCAAAGCCATTGAGCCATTCTGATTGTGAAATTTGATGGTCTAGCTTTCTGAAACTTGCTGAGATTGTTAGAGTTTCACAATGTTGAATAACTTCATAACTCTGGTGAGGTCATTTTCACGCTCTGCATTAACTTCAGTAGACACCTTTTAGTGGCTGGCAAGTTCTGATTGGATTTGTTTAGCTGTTGTTATTTAACATGAAATCTTACTTCGATATTTCTGATGTGTGCGCTTGCTTCGTGAAAGATAATTCATCTAGAGGATGAATAAACCCTTTCATGTGTTCTGTTTTTAATCGTACAAAAAGCATGTTTCATCTCTTTTGCACAGCGTTCTGCCGAGGCTGCGGCGAGCTGTTGTGTTTTTTTTTCTCATCTGATTACGCTTTTTTATCAATTCTAGCTGACCTTGCAATTGAAATTTTCAAACGTAGGCTTCAGACTTGTGCAGACAGATGTTTTTTCTGTATCAGTTAGGTATGAAATAAACGCTTGATTAGACATGCATGTTTCAGGGAGTTTTTATTTTTTTTTTAAATGAGCTTTTATGAACCTGTGGAGTAAGATAGGGAGAAAAAAATCTTTTTTTTCAAGATAACTTGCATTTGATCCATATATATTTGTGATGAAGTAAAATTAAGTTCTTGAGAGGCCTTATTTGGAGAAAAGTAATATTTTCAGAGCCACTTTTTACACATATAACTGGCAGTTTGTTCAGTGCTTATTTATACATAAATGGTAGAGTCTGTTTATATAGGCTGTGGGATTTGTGTGCATTTGTAATGATTTCACGCATACTAATTAATTTGCCAAGTGTTGGGTGATGTCTGTGCAAGTAAGTTGCACCGGCACCTGAATTCATGGTGTGCATCAAAGGGAGCATGGCCCCTCTTAATAAGAGATGAGTTACCCTGAAAACATGATGTTTTTTTAAGATTTTGTTGAGAGTTTCTGAAATATTGATGATACTCATTTTTTTATGGATTACGTGTCAAATCATTAGTCATACTCTACTATCTCACTGATTGCTTGGTTGCTGCTTTATACATCTCTATGCGACTTTAATCGTTTTTTTTAACACAAATAGATACAAAGTGAATCTAAAATGATTATATTCAACATTTTATGACTGACTTTAATGTAAACCAAATTTTTAAATTGTCAAACTAACATATTTAAATTACATTTGGATTGAGCCATGTTTACCCACAGTGTTATGTATGTTTCATTCTTACTAAAAACAAGATCTATCAGGCAGAATTTATTTGATCCAGACCTTTCTGCATGCACAGCAGTTAAATCCCAGGCATTGTGCAGCTAGAAAGCCGCTGATCCAGTGCTTCCTCCACACATATGGCTGATGCTGGCATTTGCTGCTTTCTCATATAGTGGCCCTATCTCCCAGAAGCAACTAAAACGGGGACTGCACAAAGCTGACATATGGCTTCCTGCCTGCATAATGCATCCGGTTGCAACAGTGCTCTGTGTTTTGGTGAAATCAGTTTCTTAGGTTCTGTGTGGCTGTACTGATCACACCAGCACAACAGTTTGTTTTCTGTTGTGCCACCTGAGAGTTTGAAAGTTGACTTTTACACAATTTCACCAGACTCCCCGAATATTTTCTCAATATTATGCACTGTAGACCAGATTTTTCAATCTTGCAATAGACATTTTTACACAATACAATCCTATTTATTCATTATTCTCTGGCTAAAAGGTGAGTCATGACCTTTTCTTATTCACGACTCTACTATTACACTATTCACTACTATACACATCTTTCATCACTTAAAATGCTTATTATTTCTCAGAACAGTGTTACTTCATTACACTTTTCCATGTTTCTTGTTTGGCAGATTTTAAATTTTAAAATCTTTTTTGAGGGGTACTAAACTATTCTTCTATTCTAGTTTATTCATGGGAATACCTCTAGAAATAAATGGAAAACATTGTCATCACCTAATTTATGTGGTACACTCCACGCTTTAATAAAGATATAATGGATCATTTAAAGAAAAACCCTCAAGCCCTGAAGAAATAGATGAAGTCAACACTGTTTGTTACTGCGAACCCGCATGATGACTTACCAAACTGTGTTTACAGCTCAAACCTGCTGGCACTCTGTGCCGAGAGTCCAGTAACTCATGTGACCTGCCAGAGTTCTGTTCCGGAGCCAGCCCTCACTGCCCAGCCAATGTTTATCTACATGATGGACACGCCTGCCACAGCGTTGAAGGCTACTGCTACAATGGCATCTGCCAGACTCACGAGCAACAATGTATCACCCTATGGGGACCAGGTAAATGTTTCCATTTTATTAAGCTAAGATCATCCTCTTCATTTTCATAACTGTGCTTCCTTTGTTTGACCCTGTGTGCAGGAGCTAAGCCTGCCCCTGGCATCTGCTTTGAAAGGGTCAACTCGGCCGGTGACCCCTATGGGAACTGTGGGAAGGACTCTAAAGGCTCTTTTGCCAAATGCGATGCAAGGTAAATATGGAGAGACGCCTGTGCAAATGATGATTAGCATAAAGTGGCATCTTTAACCATTTTCATTATGCTGCCGAAGCTAACTTTCAGTTTTAAACTAAGCTTGAAAATCTGCCATGCTGCCTTGTAGTCCTCTTTGACGTAACTGTGTCATTCAGATTTCTATTTATTGATCTAGTTGCTTTAATAATTGGATGTTCTGCAGATATCCTCAGCCCTGATTGATTTGTGGTATTCTGAGCTACTTGTTTTCATCCATTTGTAAGCCAAAGCTGTGTAGTGTGCTTTTTAAGTGTTTGCACACATGCATCTGTGTGTGTCTTGCATGTAGGGATGCAAAATGCGGTAAAATTCAGTGCCAGGGTGGAGCCAACAGACCAGTAATTGGAACAAATGCAGTGTCCATTGAAACCAACATCCCGTTACAAGAAGGAGGACGAATATTGTGTAGAGGGACACATGTTTATTTGGGCGATGACATGCCGGACCCGGGACTCGTTCTGGCCGGAACGAAGTGCGGAGAAAACATGGTGAGTCTTCGCTGTGTTCTTTAAGGTTTAATGTTGTGCTTCAGCATGACGCCTCATTTATATACAGTGTTTGTAGTGAAACGTCTGAACTATGAGCTGGGAGTCCTTTGGGCGCTGAGCGGGCGAGCAGAGAGGTCGCACCTACTGAAGAAAATCAGTCTTCTTTCATGATGAATGAGTCCGTGGATTAATCTGCACACGTAATGCATACGATTGAACAAGCCACATAGAGAAACCGGTTATTTTATCAGCTCTCCCTCTCAACTTTCCGTCTTTTATGTCCAAGCTTTGGGTTCTGTCACTTTCCCCCTGAACTGCCACAACAGAAAATGTTGCATGACCTGAGGTGATCTAGCGCTTATATCAGCAAAGTCACCACCTTCAGTTTTGAAATGAAACCACTGCAGACTCCCGCGAAAGGAAATTGAAAGGGTGACAAATTGACACTTTTAATCTTTTTACTGTCAACACTACTCTACTTTTCTAATATTTCATGCTGAAAGGTTTGGGTGGCTCTACAGCAAATCAGTTAATATTAAAACAACCCCTCTCCCTAGAACACAGAGTGTTGTAGAAGTTTTGTAGAAGTTTTCTGTATTACATTACAAATGTGCTGGACATTCTGTCCACACCGTTTATAGGCTGTTTAGATATTAATAGATATTAATATTAACAGATATTAATACCTACTCCTATGATTCATTATATCAAAGCTGTTGTGGGATTGGTTTACTAAAAGTCTCCGATGTTTTAGTTTAGTTGAAAGTTTAAGGAATGGGTAATGATAAGAGATTAGGACTTCAATATGTCATGTAATAATGCCATTATCATACAGAAAACTGGAACACTTAGATGCAGTTAAGGTGCACGTAATCACAAGGATGAAAAACAAAAGTGTTCAACTCTCTTCCCAGCAGATGATATCCAAATGACAGCTTTAAACAGTCATCATCACCTCACTCTATTTTAAGCAGATGCTCTACACCTTTGAGCTTTGAGCAAAAAAAAATAAAAAAAGGGCTGAAGATGACCAGCTTGTCCCCTGGCTATAGTCTCTCAGGTCATGGCCTGAAATGAAGTGACAGCTTTAGGATGATGGAAGCGTCAAACTGCAGTCATAATGCAGGAATTATTAATCACATGACAGGCAGCTCTGTTTTTTCAACATTATATTTTTGTTTGTTCTTTTTTGTGTCATCACCTGCCACAGCGTATTGAGCTTCTTTAGAGTGGTCCAACCTGTGAGACACACAATTTGGTAAATATGTCCATGACACAGTATGTCAATCTAAGGAAATGTGTATAGGATTATAGTCATATTTATGATATTCAAAACAATGTACATTATATTATTTTGAATTGGATTTTTAACAACTAGAAAATGTTTGTGATAGATTGGCAGCAGACATCAGTCTCACACGTCTGACTTGATGGAACATCTGTACACTCCCATGACAAAAATGGGCAGCTGGAATGAAAGCCTTTCTTCTTCTCGGGGCTTGGATTTTGTGTTTATCTCTACTGGCTTTCCAGTTCAGTGCCTCTGAAAATATTTAATGATGCTTTTCTCTTTATAGGTGTGCCTGAACCGGCAGTGCCAGAACGTCAGTGTCTTTGGCGTGCATGAGTGCTCAGGGAAGTGCAGTGGACGTGGGGTGAGTGCAAAGTACATTTCAGCCCGGTATTTAGAGTTGAATTATGCACAGCAACTTGTGAAACACTGTTAGAAAGCTTTGAGGGACTCTGTATTTACCCCATTCATTCACATTTTGACCAGCTAAATGCTTATGAGGCTGCATGTCAACCCTGTAATTCCAAACAACAACAGCTTGACGTTGTATTTACTGCACAACCTGTGAGTTGTAGCTGATGCTCCCTCTTTGCACAATCAATTATAAAAACGCTGAGGTTAAATCAATCCCATTTAGGAGCTTTGTTTATGCTCCATCTTGAGTGTTGTCCATCATCTTTTGACTACATAAAAAGTCTAATGATAGGGAAAAACACGATGCTTTTGCAATTGATTTCTTCCCACTGTGAATTAATCACCTCTCTCTCATAGCCTCTTGTATTATTTAAAAAAAGGGTTTATGTTTTATTTAATGTTGTTCGGCTTTAATAATCAAACAATCACCTGATACGAGATTTATCTACAATAAATATTGATTTTCATTGCCAATTCATTTAATTAAACTCATCTGACCCTTAGACACATTAAGCCGATGATTAAAAACAAACGATGCTCTCCTATGCTCAGCAACAAACACAAGGGAATGGATATGCGTGTCCATTGGCTCACACTAACAAAGGAAAACCTATCATTTTGTAAGCTTGTTTTGCTGGAATATTTTAAGGCCGTGTCTCCTGTGATCTGTGTAGAGCATCTTCTCTCTGCAGAAATATCTGCCAAAACAAATTGTTTTCCATTTTGCCAAACACCTAGCTGAGTGCGAGACTTGACTGAGAAAGTAGGGCCGCACTACAATTTCTTTCAACATCCTCCGAATTGTGTTTGCATGCCTTTAATCTGATTTATCCTGAAGGATATTTGGTAGCATTAGACTTTATTTCAGGTTAAAAAAGACTTTTCATTTTGCCTGGATCATTTACACATCTTCTATTTGTAATACATCAACTTATTTTCTGATACATTAGGTGCATGCTGAAAATGAGCCAGGTCATTATGTGTGCAACAACTATGACTTTTCAGTGATTGATTAAGTGGCTCCAGCTTATTACCATATCAAATATATGTGATGTCCCTAAACACTGTCCGTCATTGGGAGTTTTTAAACATAAAGCTTCCAGTGGATGCTTTCATTTGTCTCCGTTCTACGAGGGCATTGGGGGGAGTGCTTATGTTACATTACAAGTAAATAAAGAATTATTCTAAATGCTTCAATCATGGAATGGTTGTAGCGTTGGTTCAACATGATTGCATTGTTTTTTGCTATATTCTCTCAAACATACACTCAAGCCACACCATATCACGTTCTCCGCCTGGAAAAACAGTGCCAAAGGCTGCTCAGCTCTGTCCTCCACCAACGGATCCTGGATTTTGTTAACTTCATGGGGGAATCCTCCTGGATCAAACCTTTGTTGTTTTTTTTCCTGGAAACCTGAGGCTGTTTAGAATACACTATTCTTCATACATGATTTACCTATTGTAGCTTTTGTTGTACGTGTGTGCATTTGATTTTAAATAGAACAGAATCACAGGCTGAATTAGATTTCATGTGTAAAGAAGTATAATAGAAGTGACAAGTCAGGGCACCATCTAAGATGTGTGATGTCTTTTTTCTTTTTTTAGGTATGCAACAACAAGAAGAACTGCCACTGTGAGGCCCACTGGGCCCCCCCTTTCTGTGAGAAAGCAGGTTTTGGTGGGAGTATTGACAGCGGGCCAATGAGACTGGCAGGTATTTGGAGTAATTTGATCAATATTCTCATTCATCTAGACAGATAACACAACAAAAAAGCAGAATAGAGCTTTACCTGACCGAGGTGTGGATAGAGGCAGTGCAGTCTGCGTTTTCTTTTAAGGATGTAAAAATGTGAAATGTTATTCTGATTTTGGTTCAGCTTTAACAGTCTGGTGTCCTGTCACTGTTCTGTGCTGTAGATGTGCGTGTGTGTGTATTAATGTGCGTGTTGTCGTATATGGCATCAGCCGACAGTGTGCTCATTACTGTGGCAATCCTGGTCACCCTGGTCGGCCTTTTGGTGGCGGCCGTAATCATCTTTCTGAAGAGGAAGACTCTGCTGCGCCTCCTCTTCACCAATAAGAAGAGCACCTTGGAGAAGCTCAGGTACAACTTAACAAACTTTACATAAACCTGTCCTTCAGCGTGTTTGTGAACCAAACACTTTTTTTTTCTAGCTGGTTTGAAGTGCTTTCAGCACCGCCAATGAATACAAATACGAATTCCATTTTTTCTCCTGATGTAAATTGCTATAATGGGGACAACAAGATTTTTCTTAGCCCTTTTTCAATAGTAAACATAGAATGAATATGTATATAGTTGTAATAATTCTTAACGAATGTCATGGTTTCCTTAAAGATCTTCTCATCTTTTCATTTAAGCCTCTCTTCAAGGACTAATAAATGAGGGGTTTGGAAATAGTTGCTTTAATGTATATGCTTGTGTGCGTACAAGTTGTGTTATATGAACTCAGAATAAGTTATAGTACTTTGTGGAAAGCTGCAGCTTTCTGCGTTGTGGCTTGTCATTTGTTTTCATGCATAAAATGAAGCTCCTAAATTGAGTGATACAAAACGTGCTGGTAGGAATTCATTGTTCTGATTTTAAATGTAAATGCAAACATGTTGTTGAAAGTGACTTTATTTGATTATTTCTTTCCACATGCCTCATGTGCTTTATCCAGATACCCCTCAGTTGTATTTCAAGCTGTGATAACATATCTCCTGTAGTGAATCAACCACTGTTAAATGAATGGGAGCAACAACTATGGAGAATGTCCAGACAGAATTTTTCATTAAGATGCCAGAAGATTTTTCGTTATCAATTTGTTATATAAAAAAAGGCCACAGGGTCATTTTTACTGCATTAAACATTTTATTAGGGCTCAATATATTCATCACTAAACTCGAGCAAGTTCCCAAGTGAAAGGGAGTGTTCCTCTGTTCAAAAACATCTTGTAGTAATGCATACTCATTTTTTAATTACCAGTTACCTATTGATCAATGTGAAAAAGAAAAGTATGATTACTAAGTAAAGCAATTGTAAGTGACGTCAGCTTTAGTTCTATATATTGAATTGCGAAAGAGCAGAATGATCTTGGTCAAACTAAAATGGAAAGTCGAGCCGTAACTGTAGCTCTGCTCACCTGAGCATGTGAAAACCATTAAAGCTACAACATGATCAACAGGAGACCAGAGGAAAATATCCTAAAGCTGCTGGTGACCCGTGCTCCATCTGCTGATGCAGACCACTACATTTAAGAGTGGTTCATCACCACGTGACCTTTTATGTGCTTCTCAGTACAAAGTCAAAGGCACACATGTGCTGGTTCAGGTTACTGTTGTCGTTTTTTTTACTTTCTACAAAGAGCAGCTTTAAGTATATTTGTTTCAATCCTAGGTCTTTGGAGGCAAACCTGCCAAACAGCCCCATCAGGACCGAATCCAGGTACAGACCCACACCACGCCGCAAGCCCCCGCCCAAACCCTGTGCTGCCAACATCTATAAGGTCAGTCACTCACCCTGTGTGTTCGCATTTATCCATGTATTTCCTATATCAGAGGGTTTCTTTTCCATCACAGCCCATTTGTTTCTTTTGTAATGACTTTTCATGAGAGCACTTCAGTAACCTGCAGCCAAACCTAATCAGTCGTCATGCTTCTGGGTTTGTTGACAGAATGAGTGCAAGTCAGGTAATTGATTCAACCTCGCAATATCTCACTAAGGAGAAAATATTCATTACAATGCCGATGTTGGCCAGACACAGAGGAACTGTAATTGTAAATTGCGCCATTGAAATGAGATTCAGGAAGTTGCCATTTGAGCTCCTTTAATTTTTGTGATTTTCTGATTCTTTTTTCTTTTCTGGGTATGTGTGTGCGCGTGTGTATGTGTGTGCGCGTGTGCGTGTGTATGTGTGTGGAGGTATGCGGGGGAAAACTTGATTGATTCATGTATAGGAGGAAAAATAGCTTTTGATTTGTTAGGTGGAAATGATAAGCGCGGGAGGAGATTACCTTTCGTTGTGTTTGTGTGACAATTACAGAGCAGACATTTCTATGCATGAGTGTGAGTGGATCTGATTCATGTTTGCACTCGCCTCTAACTGCAACAACTTTGCATAAAACTTTTATCTAATGTCATAATTGAGTGTAGAAATTCATCCACTTTATCTTTTATAGCATACGGGCCACCAGAGACTCTCTGAAGCAGCCTGTCCATCTCTATTATTGTGGCTATTTCATGCAGTCGCAGATGTCATTCAGTAGCACAGCACAGCTCTTTGAAACCATCTGCATTGCTGCATTGTGCATGCATGTGTTTGTTTTTGTCAGCAGCCAAATCCCCTCCGGCCATTTTAGGAATTACTGGTTTGCTTTGGAATAAAGGATTAACAGCTGGTCAGAACATGTGGTCTAACTCTGGTTTTTACAATTTCACGTATAATAGTGTTGCTTTCCAGTTTTATGACTAACTCTGACATCAGCATTTCCACAGTAATAAGAACTTTATGACTAAAGTTGAATTTGACTTTTAATGTCTCTGTCCCACCTAATGCCTTCCAGTAGAGCTGGAACAAGTTATTTTCTTACTCAAGTAATTTGGTGTGCAGATTATATCATAATTTACCTGCAGTAATTACAGCTTCATTTGCCCATATGTTTCATGTTGTTTTATTTTGATACTGTCTCTCAACGTGTAGAAAAATGCAGACCAATCAGCCCCATCATAATCAACATGCGACTAACATTGTTGGGGGATCAGTACTGTCTCATATTTTCTTGCTACTCGTAGACATTATTGGGTCGTTTCTGAGTTTTGTTTTGTTTTTCAAAGGAAGGGGAGTAACGCAGCCTGGTTGTCAGGACTATTTGTACAGGTGGCAACTAAATTAAATCCCTCTGAATGCCAGCAGGCTTTCCCAATGGAGCTTTGTATTATAACAAGATGAGCTATTTTACTCTTTTTAACTGTGCCTGAGCCTGATTGTTGTAAATTCTAAGGTTGGGTTTGGTTGGGTTTTTTCATTTTGACTTTTTTGTTTACCTTAACCAACTAAAATAATTTAACCCTAAACAGATGCAGGTAAGTTATCAGGGGAAAAAAAACAATGAACCAGATAAAATTATAAAGGATTGTGGAAAAAAATGTACAGAATGAGTCAGATTGAGTAACAATCTGTTGTGTTCAGGTCCAGAGATTAGTGCTAACACCGTCCTCCCATTTGTCCATATCAGCATTGTGGCAAAATCAGCCCTGGTGAGATGTTGACAGCAGATTACATGAAATAGGAGAGCCGTGGCTGGCCATTCTAATCTTAAACGGCATCTGTGTGGGATACAAAGAAAGAAAAGACATAGTAGCTGGTGCGATATTGGAAACTCTTGTGAAACTGCAACAGAGGGTCAACTCAGTTGGGGATAAATGTTATCATTTAATTTACATCATCCATAAGACATCTAGTGTCAGTCTGTAAAGAATAAAGGACAACAGATCTTGATCCAAAGTATTGTTGTCTCGAAAACGTCAGCCAGTGATAATATTGTGATGCCTTTGACTCATTCTTTTGGGGATTAGTTTGACACGTGGACTCAGGTTGGTGTTAAAAACACCTTCACTGAAATCCTTAATACTGGTACTTCATATTTATTCAGCAGATATTTTAAAAAAATGAGTTCTGGCTGGGGCGGCACGGTGGTGTGGTGGTTAGCACTGTCGCCTCCCAGCAAGAGGGTTCTGGGTTCGAATCCCGGGGGAACCAGGACCTTTCTGGGTGGAGTTTGCATGTTCTCCCTGTGTCTGCGTGGGTTCTCTCCGGGTTCTCCGGCTTCCTCCCACAGTCCAAAAACCTGCATGTTAGGCTGATTGGAAATTGGGGAAATTGCCCTTAGGAGTGAATGTGAATGTGAGTGTGAGTGGTTGTTTGTCCTTGTATGTCTTGTATGTGGCCCTGCGATGGACTGGCGGACTGTCCAGGGTGTACCCTGCCTCTCGCCCGTTGACCACTGGGATAGGCTCCAGTTCCCCCCGCGACCCCATCAGGGAATAAGCGGTATTGATAATGGATGGATGGATGGATGGAGTTCTGGCTGTGGATAATACATTTAGTTTTTTTTAAAACAACAACAGTGAGTTCTCTGAGGTAAAAATGCAGCTGTTTTACCATTAAGAGAAGAGCAGGTGGAAAATCAGTTTCATGCCTAATTTACACTTTTAGGGCCTGCCTGTTTATCCCATACTTTCATGGGTCGAAATAACTTACGCAATTTCTGAAAATAGCATCTCTTATCCTCTTTCCAGCCATCTCTCCTGAGCACGGAGCCTCTTCTCCCTCCACACAACTTCCACTCTCACAGCCTGCGCAGACTTCCCTTCTACCAGCCTCTGCACATCAGCCAGCCCATGCCTGTGTCCCTGAATGTGGGCCAGCCCACGCTGCCTCCTCTGCCTCCTCACCTTCACCAGGTCCTGCCCACCCACACGTCTGTTTCGCCACCATCAGTGCCACCTTTCCTCAGTCTGCCCCGCCGACAGCCATCATATAGAGCATACCAGGTTTGTTTGAGAAAAAAACCCTGATGTACATTCCATGCAATGAAAATATTTCTTACTTAGTTAGCCAAATATGGAACTTTAACTTTGCCATGAAGTGTCCTGCAACAGTTTGAAATTAAAATATATTGTTTTTATGTTGCTTTTACACATATATATATATATATATATATATATATAAATGTGTGTGTGTGTGAGTGTGTGTGTGTGTGTATGAAACATAACAACTTTAACTGAAGTTCCCTGTGTTCCACTCCACTTCAAACCATCAAGGCGACCATCAATTGCATTTGATGTTATTGTCAGAGCCTGAGGCTTGAAATAGTTCCCATTTAATATTCAACTGTTTCCTTTTTCATAACAGTTGCATTCTCTGTGGTTCGTTGGGGTTTAAGGGCAGTCTGACCTCTCATATTCCATTTAGCTGAAAAAAGAACCAATCATCCTCATCACATAAAGTTCAATTTGTAGTTACAGAGTTATAGATGTTCAATATTGTGAACGTTGTTAACGTGAACATTGCCCAAGTTTCTATTTTTATTTGCTTTATTTATTTTCCGACCACACAAAAACAACCAATGATAGGATCCTAGAAAAAAGTTTGAAATATCAAAAACATAATGAAATCATAAACATTTAAAGAATAAACTGGACTTATTATTTTGCCATATGCCAGAAAATTCATTTCAACATTAAATTTAAAATTTAAAAAAAGCTGAGTGTGATTGATCACCCAGGTCTACCCACTTCCAAATCTAATGATTTTCAAACCTATTGAATCACCCCAAACCATTGGATGTGAAAGTAGAAATCAATCTGAGAAACTGGGCTATTTTGAAGTGCTTGGCAGTAATGTAAAATGTATGCATATTGTAGTTAATGATCTAAAACATGCCACCTGCGTGGTCATTTTGAAGAAAAGTGTTGGACCACAGTGCTCGGTTCATTTATACACCACAGCCATTTCTGCAAAATTCCAAAAACTCTGCTCTCCGCTGAACCATCGGCATCGAATGAAGTGAAGATAATAAATCCATCTGTCTGCTCAGGTGGTGAATCCAAATCCTGACCCATACTGGGACCAGCACAGCATGGACAGCCCTGCTGGATGTCGGCACTTTGTGAGCAGCAGTGTGCACAGGAAACTGGCAGATGTGTTCGGTCGTAAAACAAAAAAGAGAAAGACTAAGATCTGTCATTTGACCGTTTTTCTGTGTTTGAGGAAGAACAAATATGTGATTACTGATGTTAGCTGGGGTTGACTGAGAGACCAGACTCAGGTGATTAAGTTTCTGTATAGTATCTCAAAGCATAATCATTCATATGAGTAGCACCAGTAGTGGCATTCAGCCAAGTACTCTACTTACATCCCAGATTAATATTTTACAGCCTCTATTCCAAAAGAAAGGTTGACATGCTATCCATCCACATTCAACACATTTAATCCAACCCAGCAGCCACAGAGGCTGGAGTCCCTCCCAGCTGCAGGGTGAACCCTGGACAGGTTACCGGCCACAGCTACATCATGGGGTCAGGTCGAGACAGAGAGTAACTTTATTTTCTACTTTCAGTATAAGAACTCATATTTTTTTATTCTGTCAAATATATCCTCATCTTCACTGAAGCAAGCAATACATTTGAAAGCAGACATTCCTCAGTGTTCTGTCACAGTCTCTGAAATCTTGCCCTCTTTAGAGGGCAAAATTAAAGCATTTAAGAAGTTTCAAAAAGGAGACATTATTCCCCTTCACAAAAATATTAAATTGAATCAGCATTATCTTGTGACCTACTGGTGGGACTCTTATCACGATTACTTTGTAGTGTCTACGGAGATAATAACTGCATTAGCCAAAAATGTTATCATTTCATAATATATTTAAAATCCATGGTTTAAATACTTTATAGTACTTTTAGTTATGCTATTTAAACTACATGGCATCAGTGCTCATTCCTCCAGTGCTTACCAGCAAAAACAACTGGTATTATACCCATTCCTGTTTGTTTTTTTGCTTTGTTTTTTGTTTGTTTTTTTTATCTTATCCACATCAAGCATTCCAGCATATCTCCCCTGACTGCAATGAACATTTGCCAACTGAAGATGTACTTCAGCTGAAAGGCCACTGTTTGCTCTATAAATTGACTGCTCACTGCCTGCCAAAACAATGAAAGCCTTCTACCTGCTCATATGTTCTAGCCTTTTTCGCTGCGGTGGAAAAGACTGAGCGAGTGGAGAATGAATTTGTAGGTCAGAAACACAAGAGGGGATTCTGCTGGTATTTAACAGAAGGCCAACAAGGACATACAGGACATCCATCCTTAAAGAGAGAGTATATTTGGAAGCTCATTGTGATACTTGACACTAGCTCTCCTGCTGCCAAAATGTCTTATTTTAAATGTGTTCACACTGAGTGAACCCCATTAATATGAAGGTGAATAATGAGAATATTTCCCGAGAATACTTCCGAACAAAGCGATTAGTTATCATGTTGTTTGGTGGAAGGACAAGAAGTATAATTTATAGTATCTGCACTGTTGAGAAGGAGTGAGGTGAAAAGTAAACTGTCAACATCTTCAGGTGCTCTTCAGAAGCAAACTGCAGCGGGCCGAGAGAAAAACATGCCTTTGCCAAATGTCATCTTTTCAAGAACTTGGAAAAATTGTTTTGCTTTTGACCAGACGGCAGCGCATTTCTCATTCCTCCGGTGGGTTTTGTAAGCCCAAGGCACATACATCCAGAAGACAGAACAGTATTTCATTTTGAATTAAGATATGTGAACAACAGACTGCGGTTACAAAGTGGGGTTTTCTCTCACGTACCGTCTTAGAAAGCACAAGTCCAGGATTATTTTTCTACTTAAGAGGATGCATCTGTGGATTTTTTTGTCTTTGTTTTTTCTCCTGGAACATTGATTGTTTTTCCGAGAGAAGTGGGGCTTCATTTAATTGTTTATAGCGCAGTCTCTCTTTCAGTTTAGTCGCACAAATTTAATTACAGGATTGCCATATGGTTTATCTTTTTTACCCTCATATCCCAACTGTGACGCAGATTTAGAGAAGAACAGAGCTGCCATGTGGCTAATTGAGTTCAGTCTGATTTACACATCATAACTTAAGTTGCCTCAGCTGTTTGCATCTCCATCTTTGAAGAGGCTGCTAAGTGAGGTCTAAGCCAGTGACATTTTGTGACTTTGGTAAAACGTTTGCTTTGTTTGAACTAATTCCAGCTGATTTTTCAAGGAAGCCAAATGTAATTTTCTTACAGTGTCTTTCATCCTCTACCTTAGCTAAATGCATTTCTTTTAAATGTATAGAATACTAGAGTATTCCAACTCGATATTTGCTTATTTTCAGACCCTGTAGTTATTTAAATTATTCTTCTTTTATTAGAAAAAGAGTTTTTGATCATTCAACACATACACCATCAGCTACCACAAGACATGATTTCAACGTTGTTTTCAATTGAACTTTAATATTTCACAGTCGGTCGTAAATTTTGACAGTTTTTGTGTACACAAACACACCCAGCAGGGTGCTTCTCGTCACCACTGGTTCCCCGTGTCAGTTCCATTTAAAGGAACCCTCTAACCAAAATGTGGGCTGGTGTACATTAAAAGAAATCGTGAGAGTAAACGTCTCTTGCCTGTGGGAATCTCAGCCCCCCTGCTCTCCAATGGTCCCACGGATAATTTCTGGCTGATAGCCTGAATTCCTATCGAATCCCATTAGTGGCAGATGTGGTGAGGCAAGTGTCCATTGAAGACATTTGTAAGTTACTTGTGCCACAGAGTTTTAGGCGCCATCGTGCTTTGTGTTCAAACTGAGTGTACATAGCAGCTTTATAATTTGACCTTTTTTTTTTGTATTTTGACAACCTGTGCATATATAAAGGCCATGCACATGTTGAAGTCATCACTTAGAAGCTGTGTTGTGACAATGAGAACTGCTTATCATCCTGTTGACGGGAAACCTTCGGCTGTTTGTGTCACTCACAGGTTTCTAACTCTATCTCTATCTAAGCATGATGTGGATTTTTCTTTTCTGTGTTAAGATCTCTTCAGCTTTTTTAATGTTTTTTTAATCTGCGTGTGTGTGTTTGTGTTATATTAGTGCATATGCGAATGATATTCACCGGGCAACTCGTAGCAGATGTTTATCACCATCTCACCTCCTTGTGTAGATTAGTAACAGACAATGGCGCCTTATCCAGATAACCTTGTACTCTCACACAGCACAACTTGAGAAAAGTAGGAGGTGGTTGGGGATTCCTTTCACGTCTACTTTGGGTCTCAGAAATGCTGATAGCACAGTGCCCCCTAGTGACGCATGCCAGCTTTTGTCCACAGATCGATCCTGCCCGGCTAATCCATTCTACAACCGATGACCTCCCATTTTGCTCCGTTCTAGATTTCTCCATGTAAAATGAATGTGCTGCTTTCAGAAGGAATGCCAACCAAATGTTTAGATATCGATTAAGGACTTTTTTCTTCACAGGATTTTGAGACGCCTAGTCCACCGCAGAAGCCGCTTCCTGCAGATCCGCTGGGGAGAAGCTCTCGGCTGGGTCACATGGCCGCAGCAGGGGGGGGTCACATCCCCGGGGCCGGGGCCCTCCCGGTTCCCATCCCCACTGTGCCCAGGCCTCCACCCAGCATCCCTTTACCGAACAGGTCTGTAGGGCAGAAGAGGAAGCCCGTGTACTGGACGTCCCTCATACCAGTCATGGCGATGCTGGTTTATCTGTTTTCATGTTTGTTTTTCACTGTTTAAGTCCCTGTTGTCTAAGACAGAGATCAGTTTCTGACTGCAAAAGTCTGTTCACCCGCACGTTTCTTCCTTTAACCAAACATCTTGACCTGACGATGATGATGTATCAAACGCCAGGCTGCTGTCACACTACGTCTGACCTAGAAAGATTATCAGCTTGATTTGAAGATAAACATGATTTGTTCTTGGTCCGCTGCTATCAGATTAAAATGACGAGATGCATGTCTGACAGGGGAGATTTAGTTGTAAGTCTCGGTGTGAGAAGAAATATGCAGATTGCAATCATTTAAAAACTGTTTAAACCCTTTCTATAAGGGGAAAAATGAGTACCAGACAAATGAATTCTACTTTAATGTTGATGTAACATTGTTTGGAAGAACTGGAACAGAGGCAATCAGACTGCAAGCAGTATGCAGCAAATCACCTGCTAAAACATCTCCCTTGTGATTACTGTCAGTGAACTGCCAGCAGATCATAGGATGTTAGAAAAAGTGCATGGTTGGTGTAGCTGAGTGCACAAGGGGCAGAAAACAGGGAGGTAGTTTAAGATTAATGTGTTTCTCAAACAAAGCCGATGTCCATCCCTGATTACATCATTGATTGAATGTCTGTGTTTCTTCTCAGACCTCTACCGGTGTTGCCCTACAGACCACCAAAGAACCATGAGGACTGCTGAGCTCTCCATTTCATGGGAAAAGAAGAATAGACTGTTTTGCACTCATTTCTGAGACTCTGCTGGACCTCTGTTGGAAGTGTCACAGAGGTTCAAGTGATAAAGAGGCTAAAAGCACACTTTACTGCTCTGCCTCCAAATGGTGCTTTGTTGACCTTGCTCAGGTACCAATGAACTTTTTATCTATTTAAAGTCAGCATTAACAGTTTGTGCACAGAGCACCCCAATGACAAATGATCTTCTGCATAGAACATTTCAGAAAAGACGGAGGAGTTGTTTCATTTTCTTTTACATCTCTTTTACATTCTTAGGTGATTTTTATACTTTTTCTCAAACTGAATGCTGAAATATATGATTTTTTAAAAAGTATCCAATGAAGTATCTTGAATGAAAGGGAAAACAAGTTGGACATTTTGGAGTACCGAAGGGAAAATGGGGCCCAAGTCAGTGTGTAACTTGTGGCTCGCTGAGGAGAGTTATTTATTATGTTTTTCACCAAACATGTTACCGGAAATCTGCACATATAAAATACAGAATTTTAAGAGATGAATCGTGCAATGGCTGATCAATGGACCTTTTTATTTCACCTCATGTAGTCGGAATAATACAGCTGTCTCCTGTTACGGTCTCACAGTCCAGCTCCTCATTTCCTTATAAGTTCACATGCTTCTCTGGGCATGTGTTGGAAGCTCATGTGTTCTCCTGATGCTCGTCAGCGCTGTAAAGCACCAACAGATTTGACAGACTTATTGTTTTCCCGAGAATTACATCCACACCAAATGATCCGATGTAACAATAGAGTTTGTATGTTTAACACTCACGCTCACTTTCTCCTTGAATGTCCGAGCCAAGCTGGATTACGTCAGTGCTGTGAGATCTCCAAGATCCTCCTCGACCGTGTCGAATAGAATGTGTTCGTGTCTGTTCTGTGGGTTTTTTTTTCTTTCACACCATTCCTTTTGGATTTTGTGTGTATTTGATGTGCGTCCATGCATTCACAGTACTGTTCATGTTACATTCAGCTTTTCGCTGCACTTTTTGGCACTTTTCCTAATTTTGGAGCACAGATGCTGCAGAATGATCAACATCAGTCATGCCCTCAATCCTGTTCGTGTGGATAATGTTGTAGTGACACTTGTTTTTGTATAAAAAGTGTTCAAATGTGTTATACAGTCAAGAGAAATGGCTCTTTGCTGGAAAATATTTGTTATATCTGTGTCATTTGCTAAACCTGTATGTGTTCATTTTCTGTTGTTTCTTTTGTGGGAGATGTTATAGTCCTGGTGTGTAAATATAACCCGTCAATTTTCATGTTCTTTTTTTAAAAAGCACGGAAACTTATGACCCATTATGAGTTGGTGTCATTTATGGTGGTTGGAGATTGTTTTTCAAGTTGCCAGCATTCATTCCTAAACTTTAAGGGTTTAGAAAAATAGACTTCATGATGAAATGAAGTTTGAGCAAAATAAAAGATTGAAAGATTATTTTTTAATTTCATTCACTTGTTTTTGTCTGATGATTTGGTAATATTTTCAACTCAATTGGCAGATCCTTCTGCATCAAATGGAACTGTAAATGCCGTGTTAAGATATGTTCATATGGACGTTGACTAAAAAGGGAAAAAAAGCAATTTAATCTGACTTTACTTTGACATTTATTTCTGTGTCACATAGGAACCAAATTAATTCCGGTTGTTAGTGCAGAAGAATTCTATAAAGAAGAACTGAACTTTTATGAGGATGCTGCTGCTGTCTGTCATGCTTAAACACTGCCATCTGTTGGTCAAAGTGAGCTACAAGCACTAGCTAATAATGTGTGTGCTCAGTCCACCTCACATCGTATTAAAAATACATGAAACACAGTCCAAACACAAGATCCGATCAATGCTGAGCTAATGTTACTGAAACTAATGCACATTGTTCTCTTGTTCCATATTTGTCTTTTTCAAGACTACTTATTAGCAACGTGTCAGTCCCATCCTTGTTAATAGATCAGCATTTTGTGTTTTGATATGTTACACTGTCCAATTGTACACCCTTATCAAGCAGAAAAAAAGGTTAAAGTCAGACTTGAGAAAAGGTTCAACATACCTTCGTTTTCATGAGTTTATCAGTTTGGCGGCAAATGAGATGAGACATTTTTTTAACCACCCCAAAGTTAATAAAGAAATGCTTTCTACAGAACATTCAGGTTGTGGTGGTTGTTTGTCAGCTTGTGTTTCCTATGAACACCAGACCCCTTAGTCTCTGCTGTCCTGCTGTGTCCCACACTGGTGTGTGCGTACTTGTGTGTGTGTGTGTGTGTGTGTGTCTCATCTGTTGATGACTGCACTACTTCTGTGGGATTAGTGGTCACATGACAACACTGGGATGGGCGCCCAGTGAGCCTTTCATTTGGCTTCACTCGCAGAGGCGGTCTTTGTGCCGTCTAATAGTTTACTAAGAGCCGGAGATTTTCAATCCCAATGTGTGTGGATCTGTAAATGAAGTCAAAAGCAGACCGACTGGAAGCTCATTTGTGATGGCGCAAGACTTCTGCAGTTTGAATGGAGAGGACTATTTTGAGGGAATATCTCCATGTTGTTCAGACTCAGAGGCTTTGAGTCAAGGGGACAAAGAATATGATGACATCTTGGAGCTTAATCAGTTTGATGGACTGCCTTACTCCTCTAGGTTTTACACTTTGCTTAAAGAGAGGAAAGAGCTACCCGTATGGAGATCAAAGTGTGAATTTATGGACACCTTAGCCAAGGGACAGTTTGTCGCTGTCAGTGGCTTTGCCAAAACTGGAAGGAGCTCACAAGTGAGTAATCGGGAATTTCAGAGAATTTTAGATAAAATTGCATATAACACTGCAGAGATCCTATATCTCAAAAAGCTTTTTTTTTTTTCTGTAACAGATTCCTCAGTGGTGTGCTGAGTACTGCCTGTCAGTGCAGTTCCAGCATGGGATGGTGGTTTGTACTCAGATTCATTCCCAACAGGCTGTAGATCTTGCCCTAAGAGTGGCTGATGAGATGGATGTCAACATTGGCCATGAGGTTGGATACAACATCCCTTTGGAAACGTGCTGCACCAATGAAACGGTCCTCAGGTGTGGAAAAAAGTTGTGGAAACTTCCTACTTTACCGTATCTCACTCCGACTCTCTCCTGTTCCAATAATGCTTGGTCATGACACGCTCTGCTAAATCAACCCCCCTTTTTTTTCTCATTCTTAAGAGAACAGGAGAACAAAAGGGGTCAGAGGACTCCTTTCAGAGGCGAGGCCACAGCTGCCCAGCTCCCCATCAACCCATATGTCACACCCCCCCTCTGGGTCCCCCATAAGTTAGCGGGGGAACAATGAAACTGAGTGAATTAAAAGGGGTTGAGATAGAAAACAGGCAGATGGAATGTAGACAAAGTTCTTTTTTTATCTTTTTTAATTAAGAAGTCACTCTAAAGTATAATGAATCCACTACTTTAGAGTGCTTGGGCTGACGACTTAAGAATTTTAGTTTGAAGGATTAGAAGTGATTCTTACTCATTTAGCTCCTGATGTTAACAGTCTGTGCCATTGCGTTCCACAGGTACTGCACAGACAACATGCTCCTGAGGGAGATGATGTCGGACCCTTTGCTGGAGCGCTATGGTGTGGTGGTTGTGGACCAGGCCCACCAGAGGACCGTGGCCACCGACGTGCTCCAGGGGCTGCTGAAGGACATCGCCCTCCAGAGGCCGGAGCTCCGGGTGGTCCTCCTTTCGGCCGTTGAACCCGGCCCCAAGCAGCTGGCCCACTTCACCGGCTCAGCCGTGCCGGTGGTCCACCTGGATGCCCCGGCGTCAGGGGAGGTGTTGCACGGCAGCGCGGGCGACGATTACTTCTGCTCTGCCCTCCGCCTGGTCCTGGAGATCCATCACTCGGAGGAGCAGGGGGATGTAGTGGTCTTTCTGGTGACAAAGGAGGTAAAAGGCATCACGGATCCTCTGAGAGAAAAAACGGTCGAAAAGATCTTTGTCTCACATTTTACACCTTTCTCCATCCTCCGGCAGGAAATAAATCTAGCTCACGACATCCTGTGTCACGAGGGCCACGGTTTAGCCCCTAACCCGGGTGAGCTGCTGCCTGTCACCATGCAGCCCGGCCAGCATGTGAATCTGACCACCCCCAGGGAAGAGGAGGCAGGCCGCTCACGCAGGGTGTTTCTCACCTCCAGCCCCAATGAGGACTTCTTTTGGGCTGTCAGCTCAATACGCTTCGTAATTGATGCCGGGCTTGAGAAGAGACATGTATGTTTGTCCTTTTCACTAACACGATGACTGATTTGTGGTCGAGTTTACGTTGTGATCTGGTGATTCGACATTTTTGACGAACACATTTGCGATCATAAACATATCTGAAAAAATTGACATGAAAACATGATAAAAGCATTTATAATGCAGGGAAAAGGCATCGGTCAGTAGTGCATGTAGATGCGCTGATTTTAAAAGAAAAAAAGCTTCTTTGTCATTTTTTAATCAGTTATTCATGCTGGAATAGTGTTTTGTAGTGTTGCCTTCAAAAAGTTTGAAAGATTTACTGTGGAGCAGATGAATGTTTGCCATTGAACAATAGCATATTTTAAACACTAACAATTTTCTTTTAATGACTTGAAGCTAGTTTTAAACGTGCTGACTCAGCATTACCGTGTCACAGGTCTACAACCCTCGGATCAGAACAAACTCCTCGATCATTCAGCCAATCAGCGTGGCTCAAACTGAGTGCCGTAAACAGCTGGCGGGTCCAACAGGTGAGACCTTCTAGACACGCAAACAAACCCTCTGGATTTTAATCTCTGTCTGAAACTCAAAGAAGGCTGTTTAAAAAGGATCTCTCCGTCCTGTAGGAAAGTGTTTTCGCCTGTACCCAAAGGAGAGGCAGCTTCCTCTTGAGATTCGTCCACGCATTGTGGATTCGGACATCACCTACACCGTGCTCTTCCTGAAGAGGATGGAGATTGCTGGATTGAGCCACTGCCATTTCATCGACAGACCAGGTCATTTTTTTCTCATTGTGTCATTTTTAGACACGTGTAACAGGTTTTTTTTACCTGTTACTCTCTAAGATTCACATGCTGTTGGATGATGTCATTCATTTGAGGCGGGGTTCAGTCAGTTTGTTCCCATTTGGTCCAACACACAGCAAATGTTAGTTTATTAGAAGGCAGTGAGCCATGCGTCAGCGGAACAGACAGCTTCTGTTCTAACAGCATCTTTTCAAAGCTGACCTGCTTCTGTGTGCCTTTGTTCTCACAGATTTGCAACCCCCCTCTAACACACACACACACACACACACACACACACTGAGCCTCCCATTAGTTAATTGGGGCGCAGACATGCTGGTCCTGGTGTACAGGAGAACAGATGATAACAAGCAGCACATATTTATTGTCGGATCTACATCAGTTTCAACCAAATGTTTCTTTAAACGCGTTTGTTTGGAGAAAATGTCATTTTTTTAAGGAAGTTGCAATTGTTTCACAAAACCTTTTTTTCCCCTATTTTTACCCAGTGCTGCATGTCAGATGTCGGTTAGGATTGTAAATTCCTAATCCGCTGCTGTGCGTGCATCTGCACCAGTACTCTGGGGATTGTTTCACAGGGCCACCACTTTGGATAATGTTTTTGTTTGCATTAACAGATGGTATAATCTTCCAGCTTTCATACTTTCATTAAAAAAAAGTGGTTCTCCTTCCCACTTTTTCCATGAACTTCATAACTGGTTTCATTTTTAAATTGAAAATTCAAAAATCCCTCTTACTCAGACCCTGGAGGTCTTATGCAGGCTCTGGAGGAACTGGACTACCTGGCCGCTCTGGATAATGACGGCAACCTGTCCGAGATGGGCATCATCATGTCTGAGTTCCCCCTGGAGCCCCAGATGGCCAAAACGGTGCTGGCCTCCTGTGAGTTCGACTGCGTCAGCGAGGTGGTCATCATCGCCGCCATGCTATCAGGTCACTGTTCAACACCGTTTATAACATCGTATTGCTTTGTAAATACAAAATCACGCGCTTAGTCAGCACTTGATTCCATTTGTTTTCCTTTATAGCACCCACATGCTTTGTGGCTCCCCCTGTTGAGCAGAAGATGGATGCCGCCCAGTGCCACTTGCAGCTTCAGCACCCAGAGGGAGACCACTTCACCCTCATCAACATCTACAAAGCCTTCAAGCAGTGTCAGCAGGATCCATGTGAGCCTAGAAAACACCCCCTACAGGGAAATCTCAGACATCTAGAAACAAATTCATAGATTATACCAAGATCAGTTAACATAATACAATGATTAATCAGATACTGCTAGTAAGTTACACAAGTTTTCATGACAGATGAAAAAATGGGGGAAAGTTAGATAAGGTTTTTACTCATTTATATCATTACTTTGCCCTGGCTCTGTCTCACTTTTTGGCTCTCGCCTTCTTCTGGGTCAGACTGTAATGAGGAGAAGTGGTGTCGGGATTTCTTCTTGAGCCACGCCGCTCTACTGATGGCCGACGCTCTTTGTGCTGAGCTCACTGACACCCTGAAGAGGATCGAGTTGCCCATCTCGGTGCCCGCCTTCGGCTCCCGGAGCAACACCGCCAACATTAAGAGGGCGCTCCTCGCAGGCTTCTTCATGCAGGTGAGATCACAACCCTGGAAAGCTCCCCTCCAATCCATTCCAGCTTGGTTTGATCATGAGAAGTTGCACTTTCAGCAAGCGTCGGTCAAAGAGCGTGGCCACATGTTGTGCTTTTTGCTTTCCCCCTTCAGGTGGCACGGGATGTGGACGGATCAGGGAACTACTTCATTCTGACTCATAAGCACGTGGCACAGATCCATCCCTTGTCTGCCTACGGGGCCAGAGGCCCCAAGCTTGGCCTGCCGGAGTGGGTGCTTTTCCACGAGCACACCTTCTCAGAGGATAACTGCCTCCGTACTGTGACCCAAATAACACCAGAGGAGTAAGTCCGGCCCCATTATGACTGGATATATTGCCGTTTCACTGACCAGTCTGCCTCGGGATTTAACTTAAAAGTAGTGATTCGAAAACCCCTTATATCTTTAACCTAAGAGTCTTTAACCTAATCAGACAGACTCATTCCCTGCTCCTTTTGAACCGCGTAATGCCCCAGTTCGGCAGAGACTAGTCAGGCTGGCTGTGAAGTGAAGAATTACAACCCTGTTCTCTGGTGTATGCGAGCTGGAGAAGGGATTATGGATTGCAAAGATCTGTGGGAATGTGAAGCTGCAGCTTAATGGAAGGAGTGAAAGCTCTGTGGTGTCTGTCCCTTTAAAGAAGCTATGAAATTAGATAAGAAAAAGCCTGTCATTTTTCCACTCTTCTAACTGGTTGTCCTTCATCTCACCCACTGCATTTGAAATAACCCATGAATCCATTATCAAATGCAAAAAAGCAGCTAAAACTCTTGTGTATTGCGTTAAACACGTTTCCACGTCCATTTCTAGGTTCATTCGGATGACTCCACAGTACTTTTTCTGCAACCTGCCATCGAGTGAGAGCAAAGACATCCTGCAAAACATTTTGAACCCTGGAGCAACACGGCATAAAGAGGAGAAGCATAAATTGCAAGAGGAGCCCCAAGAGGATCAGACCTCTGACCGCTGTGTGGTTCAGTGACCGACAGATCCACTGTTCTCAGTGGTGATTCAATCATCTGGATTTAGTGGACTTTGTCGTACATTAACACACCATCTAGAGAACCGCAACATTTATTACAATTGTTTCACTCTATCTGGGCCCATCATCACTGTTTTTAAATAACAGCATTTTTTTATTTTTCTTTGAGTAGTGATATAAAGTAAGATGATATATTAAAGTTTATATGTAAATATTTAAAATCTGACTACTTGTACAGTTTTTTTTTTTGGAGAACTTCTCTCTCAGACTTGCAATTTAATCAGTTTCGATTGGATCTTCTCAAGTGTGTTGTAGTCTATCTGTCCAACAATTGGTTCCCCACGGAGCAGAAGTCTGATTAATCATTCATGTGCGTCTGGATGGAGCCTTCACCTCGAACTGCTGCGGGCCCACTTCATTAACTGTGGGTTGACCCAGTTCGCTGGCACCACAGATGACTCTTGAGCGCCACCAGCTGGCAAATGGGACCACTGTCAGAGTAAACACGCCACAAGTCCACAGGCTAAAATGTGGCGTTAACATTCATGCATTCAGGAGTTCACCAAAAGGGTTTAATTAGCAAAGACACACCTTAAAACAGAAACATGCAGTTCCATGAAGATGTGCTGCTGTGTATGAAATCTCCAAATCTTTTAATTTCCCACAGCAAACCAGCTGATATGAATTCACATTTACACGTACAGCGTTGTGATTCTGCTTAAATATTGCACACACGAAGCAATTGACGAATCTAATCTCGGTCACACTTCATCATATTTCAATCACAGTTTTACTGAGCATCAGAAACTCCAACCATGTATCGAACCACGGCTTGTGCCAAATTCTGTACCTCCATTTACACCCCTATGTACAGAAATTACAAGTGATAATACAAACTTTCAAAGGTTTCTCACAGTCTGTTTTTGTTTGAAGAGAAATGACAAAACCCTTAATTGGTATGATAAAAAAAACAACTTTCATACAGGATATTTATGTGAGTCATTACTGTTTGACCTAGAAAATTAAACATTTCCTGAAATTTTCACAAAATGTACAGTTCAAACCCTGGGAAGAAAAAGCTGAGTGAATTTCAAAGGCGCTGAAGGTGAATGAGCCTGAAAAGCTTGAGTTTGGGCGTGCTAGTATCGGTCATTGTACGTTCTTGTCTTTTCAGAGAGTTCAGAGAGCAAAGTCTAGACCCAACACGCATCTGGTTCCCCCTTTGTTAGACTTTATGTGTTCCTGCTTCTTCACTTCCTGCTTCTGGGCTCAGCTGCTGCAGCAGCTCGATGTAGAGCTCAACGCGCCTGAGGAGAGGTGCATTTTTCTCCGCTCGCAGCAGCTTCGAGTACACGTTCTTGTAGATTTTTAGCATCTCCTCATCCTTGTTGCTGGAAAAACCACAGAAGAGCTGGTCAGATGATTGTGTTTCCGGGAAGCATTTCAGCAAAACAGAGCAGCAGAGCTTTTTGACTCACCTTGTTTTCCGTTTCATTGTCGTTATCAGTTTGATCACTTGCAACAGCAGGAAGGAAAAACTTGGCTCGAACACGCTAATCAATTTAATAACTTCCTGGAGGTCCAGTCCAGATGTGGAGCCACTGGTCACATCAGGAGACTCTGCTGATTGAGCAGCAGGCAGATCGACTGACTGCAGGACAGGAGGTTAAAAAGGAGAAGACACAGTGCTGAACAAAGCTTTGGAACTGTTCATAAAACGGGCGATTTTCCCCCTCTGAAACTTACCTCTTCCTGCTCTTCCAAAAGCTCTCTGCAGATGAGCCGGAAAGCATGGCGAGTTTCTGTCATAACATCCAACGCTCCGGTCAAGCTCTTCAGCTTAGCCGCGCTGCTGCTCTGACCTTTGGAAACACAACACGCAGCGTGACTGTAAGAAGCTTTAGAAAAGAATGTTATTGTGTTCTCCGATTCAATCCTTCCCCTCACAACAAGAGCCTAATTATATCATTTGTGATGAAAAGGCGCGCACCTGCCATAGTGAACTCGGCGAATGCCACCCTCTCGAGCAATGTGCGGAGCAGCTCGCAGGGAGCGTCTGTGAGGCTGAGGAACAGGGAGACAGCCTTGCTGTAGTGGAGCTCTGCCAGGCTGCGATGCTGCTTCCTCAGGTGTTCATCTCCCACCTGTCACACAGTTACGGCAAGAGAAGCAGAAATCTCATCAGCCACAACCTACTGCTGCCAGGACGGAGTGCAGACATGCCTTTTTATTCTCCTTACAGAGAGAAACATCTCTCACGGATAATGTGAAAAAGGTTCCGGTCGGGATGAAAGGCTGTTTTCCCACCTGGTTGCGGTAACAGCTGTGGTACATGGAGGCCAGGCGGTGGTGGATGGTGGCCGCTCGGTACTGGTAAAGCGGCTGCCGGGCCGACTCAGTCTGCAGATCGCAGTAATTGAGGGACTTCATCATCGCCTCAGTTACCTCCCGCTCAATCTGGGAAGAAGCACACAGGAACAGACGAATTTGAGTGAGACTTCGAGTTTCAGACTTTTCACAGAGTTTGTTAGTTTTTATACAATTCCAAAGAGTTCAGTTAAAATTAGTGCAGTGAAAACCCACCTGCTCCTGGGCCTTTCTGGACAGAGGGGCGTAGTCCTGCAGAAGAGTAGCCAGGGTGAAATATGTGGTGGACAACTCCCAGTTGACGCTGTCCCATACAGCCTGGTGACTCTCTCTGCTCCCGAGGGACTTCATAGCTCGCAAGTAATAGTCTATGGCCTGGGGTTCAAAAGGTGACAGCGTAAGAGGACAGGAAGACTTCGGAAGCGGTAAGCTCGGCATGAGTGGAGGAGTTTTGCCGAGGCACCTTGTTGTAGTACAGAGCCTCCTCGGGTGAGAACTCCCCTCTGCTCTTGTCGGCAGAAACGTTGCAGTGGGCCTGAGCGCAGATTCTCATCAGCCTGCCTGTGTTGCACAGCAGTAAGGCCGTGTTGGTGGTGTCCCCGATGGCTTCAAAGTCCTTCATCCCTTTCTCAAAGAAGGCAAAACTCTTTTTCCACAGATCCTGCTCTGCCGTGGACACCGACTTTTTCACTAAAAGGCGAGCAAACGGGTAAAAACATTCTTCACTTTACATTTTCTGTCACCTTCAGGCAGGTTAATAGCAACCTAAAACAACTGAGGCAAAACAAAATGTTCTGAGAATTTGAAAGAAGTAAAAAGTACGTGGAACTGAGAGGAGTTGACAACACACCTTTCTCTGTCTGCATGGCTGCAGCCTGGTTCATATAAAAGACTCCCATCTCATTGCGGATGTTTCCAAGCCTTTTGAGAACTGGAGAAAGCTGATCTGTGGTGTGGTCTCTCAAGGCCTCAGACACAAGCAGCTCATAAGTGGCCTCGTAGCATTTACTGCTGACAAACAGCTGGTACTCAGGATCCATGGCCAAGTCTGTGGCCATACTAAACGCTGTTCAGTAGAAAATAGAAATATTATTTACGTAGGGAATTATTCAAAAAAAAAAAAAAAAGCTTGCAGTTAATTTTGGAATATCTTAGGTGTAATTACGAATATCTTAAATACAGGATACTGCCTGGCAGTTCAGGATTAGCTTTTAAACAAATCTGCTCATGCACTGACCCTGGCAGCTGCTCTCTCTGTGCAGACTGTGCAGGATCTCCTGGTCCTCTTTGGTCTGGTAGCTGTATTCTTCCAGATAAGCTGCTCTGTTGTTGCCATTCTGGGCCAACATCAGCTGGATGTCCCCACACAGAGACAGGCACTGGCTGTGGAACTGCAGCACCTGTGGGTGCAGCATTCCACTCACCGAGCAGTAGGCGTCTGGAACAAAACGCAAAGGATTTCAATACCTCATTACTATTCGATAAATGGGGTTAAATCGCAGCGAAATGAGCTCACCGTGGCACTGCAGAGACAGCTTGATGTAGCGTAGCGCCCGTCCGTACTTCAGCAGGTTTGTGGCTGCATCTGACAGGACGTAGTAGGCCTTGGAAGCTTTGAGGAACAGCTGCAGCTTCATGCGGTGCTGCCAGGAGCCAGGGATCATCCCCGAGCGGGTCGGGTGCTTCTGGTCCCCCGGCACAGGCCCCACTGGGTTCATGGATGTGGAAGGATCAGAAAAGGTTACATTCAGGTCTGCATACGTGTTACATCAGCTATGAAAAGAGGACTGCAGACGGACCTCTTTCAATGAGAAGAGAGATGCCTTTCTCTGCGGCAGCGGAGCCTCCGTCCTCATATTTCAGGGGAATGGGAGTGTTAGGATCTGCAGCGGGGAGATCACTCTCCTTCTTGATGCTGCCATCCACTGCCTTCAGCCCCTGTGAATGATTATACAGCCTTAAATTTAAAGTAGACAGCCTTTAAGATGAACAAAAGGCTTTGAACAATGTTATTTTTACTCAAATAGTAGGAAAAACATATGATGTAAGAGACCTGTAAGCAGGGTAAGAAGAGGGTCGTTTTGCTTTTAATTAACTGAATTTTCGCCGTAAATATACAGTAAAGCAGGAGTTTTCTAAATCTGAGACAATAATAATATGTAGAAAAAAGAAAAGCACTTGGTTGTTTGATCCCATTGACACAAACAGCCAATGAGAAACCATAAATGTTGCTTTAGACATATCTAGAGCACTATGTGCTTTATGCTAAGGCATTTTTTATTACTTAATGATAAACAGTCATACTCCAAGTAGAGTAATGTGTTCAGTTCATAACTGAAATCACAAACATTAAAGTTGTTTTTTTGAATAACTAATGTGATATTTATAATCCTCCTCACACTGTGAAAACCTCAGTTAGAAACATAACTCCACAAAAACCTGCCTTCAGTACATAGCTCAGGACGTGTCTGCACCTCTCCTCTTTGTCTTGGGAAACGGGAAAAGCACAACTTGGCTGCGGGGAAAAAAAACATTTAAAAAGGATTATGGTTTTGGGTTTACACATCTGTATTTAAGTGTGTAATCCTCTCTTTTTAATCTGGGATGCATCCACTCACTGACCCTTATTTGGTGAGTCGATTTGTATTTTTCGGGGACAGACAGCTCTCCAACAGAGCGGATCACAGCTACTGCTTTACTATCATCCTGAGGCCTGCAGCAGTTCCTGTAGGAGCCATTCTCATCACTGTCCTCTGTCAGATCCTCCTCCTCATCCTCCTCGTCCCGGTCTTCATCACTGTAGCTGTCTTCTGAGCCACCGGCGCGTAGCGACTCCCCTCCATCTTCTTCAGGCGGCTCATCAAGCTGGAACAGCTCTGACAGCATGTAGTGAGCTGAGGCAATGATCTGAGCACAAAGACAGCAGCGATCAGGGCTGGGGTTGTTTTCACTCTGCTCAGAGCTTAAAATCTGATCCACCTTGAGCTTTACCCATAATATATGGTAATACCAAAACGATTCATTAACAAATGGAAAAGGCTTAAAAAACTAAAAACACATTTTACTGCCTCCACTGTACTCTTTACTGTTTCTAATTCGAACTCTGAGGGTGGAAGTATCTTTCTATGTCCACACCTACCTGAGGATGCCTCTCCTTGTCAAGAAGCTTGACACAGTTTAGGAGCAAAGTTCTGATGGTGCCATTGTGCTTTCTATTTTGCCTCGTCTTCAGCAGCAAGTTGCTGGCAACTCTGCACCAAAAAGTCAGAGAGGGATAGAAAACAATGTTAAGATCAAGATCAGAGTGGGGCAAAGTGAATAAACAATCTTTTAAAAAATCCTTTAACTAAACTTAAATCTTGTGCGCATTGCTTAAAATTAAACACTAAAACAGTTGATTTTTAGGGAGAATCTTTTCAACTCCAAATTCAAACAATCCCATGCAAAGATGCTCCCATCCCGTTCACACTCACTTATATAGCAGCACAGCCACAGGAAGGGTGAATGGATTCTGGCATTTTTCTTCCTCAGCCTCTTCACAAAGAGTAGTAAGATCGTAAAGCTTCACAATGTCACTGCCACTAGCTGTAGAATCAAAAGATGTCCATATATAACATGGGATGGCCACACAGTGCATAATGCATAGCACAACGAGATGCTTTTCCCACCTTTGAAAAGCCAGTAGGTGTGGCCCTCTTTGGTGCAATTGGACTTTAGGAAGGAGAGGATATTTTGGGCAATGTCTTTCACTACTCTCGTAGAAAAAGTTGAATTCTCTAGATGAGGGATGTCCTCTGTTTTTATCATTTCATATTTCTGTAAAACAAAATCACAAACTTACATTTTTAAGTTGGGAGCCTCTTATGTCCTGAAATTACACTGTCTTAGCCTCAATGAGAACATGTTCAATTCAAGACTGAAACCATAGTTACTGAAAATAAATAAAGACATAATTCTCAATTATAACTGTATATCATTTGACTAAAAACTTTATCAGTCAACAGTGACTTACTTGGACAATGCCATTGACGTGAAAACACATGACAAGTTCTGGGACGTTGCACATGAGATTGTCAAGCCAGTAGTCGATGCCAGTCAGAATGTTGATCGGTTTATTGTCGTCCCTGGAATAAGACAGAGTTGCATGTTTAGTGCCTCACTGAGAAGGAAATATTAAGGGGGGGCTGATTTGCTGCATACAAATGGGCATTTTTTGGTTTTCCGCTCATGGTCAGTGAAAGTAAAATCAAAAACCAAACTAATTTCAGATATACCACATATCACCCACATATTATCTTTTCAGTTATGTGTAAAGAATCATTTTCTGACACCCATCAGAAGACAGCACAATTCAGAAGTGCAAAACAACTAAGATGCATAATTAGATTATTATTGTTTTAGTACTTAATTAAAGTTAAACTGATGAGAGAAAAAATTCCCACCTGAGTCTCAGGCTGACAGCAGGATAACGGCCACCTCCAAAAATAGGCATGTTGGACCCAACCAGCATGTGGATATCCTCAAATGTCCACATGATATTTCGCACAAAATCATTTTTTAAACCCTGTGAGAAAAAAATTTAAAAAAGAAATGAAGAAGGATATAACAGTGTTATTACTTACAAAATTGTGGCAATGGACAGCAAATTCCCGTTACCTGACTGTTCTCCCCTTCATTAAAGAGAGTAGGAAGGTTTTGCTCCTTGGGTACCGACGCCACCTGATCCAGAGCAAACTCGCTGTCCACTGACACACTTTCCTACACGTTTAAAAGCAAAGATGTCTTATTTTTAGAACACGTTTCGCTCAAGTAAAAAATCTGTGAATAATATTGCTAGCTGAAAAAACTATTGGACCCAAGGATCCATGTTACTGTGTTACAGCTACACCACCTGCTTTGGGCCATCAGAGTCTTCTTCATGAGACGCAGTGCTGGTAAAAGCGGTGGGCCACGAAGAGCTGAACTCCTCAGCTCCACTCTCCTCACTCCCGTCATTCAGGTTGTCTGACACAGGCTCTGCAGCCCCATCACCGTTTATGCTGCAGGAAACTCAGGCTGTTATGGCAGCATGTGTCTCCAAAGTCAGTGTAACTTTACTGTAACGGCACACTCATTCAGGCAACGTAAAATACCAACCTGTAGTAGAGGAACTTTGACAGGATGGCCTTCTGATACCAGTGCTCTTTGCTTTTCTTTTTCCTCTGCCATTTCTGATCTATGAGACGCTGGTAAAATTCTTTCAGCCATGTCCAATCACCTGTCTGTAAGAGGAACAAATCAAAAACAAAAAACTCTAAAGCTGCAGTCATGACAAGTGTTATTATAAATCGAAGAAAATGAACAATGTTCAACTGTACTTGAGAAGATCTCCTGAATAGCTCCTGAATGTCCAGCTCGTCCAAAAGCAAAGTCCTCCCTACACGGTGAACAGCCATGCTCACATGGGACTTGCTGTAGGGAATTTTTAAAAGCTTCTTGATGTTCTGAAGGTGACAGAAAACAGTCTTAATATCAGTGACTTGTCTGTGCATTACAGACACAAAGAAATAGCTCTTGAACAACTTCACAAACCTCTGAGTCTGAAACTACGTCCACATCGTCCCCGATGCAATCAATGAAATCATAAGCTATCCCAAAACTGCAAAGACAGAGAGGAACTTAAACAACTGAATGATCACAGGCCCATTGACTCAAACTGATTGGTCTTAACTGCCGACTTCTGTTAAATAACCTCTGTTGACAATTTACCCGCTGAAAGCCCCATATTAACTTTGTCATTATGCACTTATCCTGTGCTTCTTGTTTTATGTTGTTGGTTTGAACCACAGCTTTGTACACACTGAGCTAATACAGATTCACCAACAAACTCTAATCACTGCATTCACATTAACAGTCGGAGCGTTTTGAACCGCAAATAACAGCCTACAGCTTCCTAAGAAAAGCACTGACCACTAAGAAGTTTCAACTAAACCACTCAAAAATCTGTCTGAGAGCTCAAAATTTACTCTGATGAAATAGTTGTTGGAGTAACTTTCCCTGTGTTTCGGTAACTTTTTTGTGATTGCGTTCTCAATGGCAAATTAAAGGATTTACCTGGAAAAAGGCTTGCTTTTGCTGCTGGAGCCTAAAACAGTAGTGCCAGCGCTGCCCAGCTGGGGGTTTTCTCTTAACCAGTTGGCAGGTGGCAGCTTCAGGTCAGTCTTCTCCTGCAGCAGAGCGTAGGAGGCTGGAGGTGGGGCAGCTGAGTATTTGACCACAGCACGGCTCTTTACCTCACTGTTGCCTGAGCATATTGCAGTTTCCTTCAAATTAAAAAAGGTGGACATTACAAGCCAGGATAGAGAGAATGATCAAAAGATTTAACTTAACTGAGTAACATATGTGCTACAAGTGACATTGGTTATATAAAAGACCATGTGCAGCATGTTAGTCCATATGAAAGCACTGTAACAATAACATGAAACAGCAAAACAGGCATGTTAAACAGCAACAGACACCAATACTGTGTCGTTACTCTAACAAAGTTACTTACATGTTTGTGATAATCTCCTGTGCAGGAAGGACCACCAAGGTCTTCCTTGACATTATCCAAGTGGATCCCAAGCTCTCTGTCCGCAGCTGATGAGCTCATGCTGGACAAAGAACTGTTCACTCCCGCTAACATTACCCGGTTTTTAGCAATAAGACATTATATCCTGACTTGCCTAATGCATTATATAGCGCTCATTTATATAAGTAAACGTGTGCGTTAGATAAATTTTAACAATAAAAGTCAACAGCTCTCCAAGCTAGCTCATCGTAATAGCCATGCTAATACCAGAAAATGTCCAAAAATGAGTACAGTTCAATTACTCTCTATATATCAGACAAAACACAGACACTTAAATGACCGTTGGTTATAGTTTTGTACCACATGACAGTATTCCCCTTCTTGTTTCACAAGCCTCAAAAGTCTCTCTACTTTCCATCACTAGCCCCTGTGTCCACAGATCAGACGATGGCTGTAAGCAAACATCAACTTCCGGTTTCGGAGAAATAAGAACCCCAAGAAATATTTTTTTCTATTTTTCACAGTGAGAATTAACTTTTTTTTAAAAGTTAAAAACTGATTTGGCAGGTTTTATATAACGTACAATCTTTATCATGGTAGATATTTTACATAGAAAGATTTAATATACCAACGTTTGAACCGGAAGTACTTCAAGAAGTTCTTTCTGGAAAAGTTGAGAATATTCTGTTTGTTTTCTTTTTCACTTCAGTGCTCCATGTATGTCGTTATTAGCTGATATAACAAAGTTATACATTTTATATCAGTAGCACTGCCAAAATGTATAGAAAACGTACCAATACTCATGTTAAAAAGTCATATATTAAAAAATTAAATAAAATAAGAAACAAAAATTCATAAAGTTTTAACAAAAAATATCTGCAATATTTCAGTGTTTTTATTTGAAATTCTAATAAAATAACTACATAAATTGAAGGTGTAATATTAAATGATAATGAATAGAAATATAATAATATTTACTTATGCAAAAACATATTATATTTTATTATATTATATCATATTGTACTATATTTTATCATAGTATATCATATTATATTATACTATGGTGTGATGAGGAGTCGTACTCAGCAGGGGAATGTGAAGCAGCTGACTAAAAGTGGGAGGAGCTGTCAAACTTTGCTGCAAGATCTAAATTCCTGAGCTGTTGGCATCATTGTAACAACCTCGGTTTCGTCCTAGCAAAATTAAGTTGTGATCTGCACCTCTACATCTTTAAGAACTACGGTCAAACGAAAATATCTTGTTGTTTTGTCGCAATGGAAAGCTGGAAAATTCACGTGCGTGGACGAATTCAGCAGAGAGATCACAAAGAAAAACTTCCATTCGTAGGCATTTTCACAACCTGTAAGTCTATTGTTTGTTTTAATTGTGACGGTTTTGGCTCTAGTCTAAGTACTTTTTTTTGTTTTCCCCCAGTGTCTAAGCTGGAGGAACGTTTTGAAATTCGCAAACATATTCTGGAGGATGTCCATCCCAAAAGGTTAGAAATGCAGAATTTCGGCAAACAAACAAAAATGATTGGTTTCAATGCCTTTTTTAAAAATGTATTTATTTATTCTTATTAAACGTTTCATGTGAAGCTTCGAAAGAGGTGGGATTGAAGTGGGGAGAAACACCAGACTCCTTGAACTCCAGCTGAAAGAGAGTGAGCATTTGTCAGACAAGGTGGGCCTAATTAGGACTAATCTGATCAACACAGCAGCATAATCATTCTACATTATTAAGCAGCATCAGTTTACATTCATTTGTAAAAACGTGTGACATGTACTTAAAATATCTTGTAGATTTCATTCCCATTCTACCCTGTGGAATAATTTTAATCATGGAGGTTTGATCGCATCCTCCTTACCATCTTTGTTTGGCATGTCCAGGCGCTGACCTTTGGTTATTGAATCAGTCCATCCTTTGTTTGTCTTCCCAGTTGTCTCAAACTGTCTCCGACCTGACTGCTGTCCTGTATCTGAAAGAGGCTGAACTACAGCACTGGCAGTCACGGTATGTTCCAGTGTCTCACTCAAATCCCATTTCCCACTGGTTATCTGCCTGTTGAACATTTAAAAAGCAAGGCTCAACTTCAAAACAGGTTAACTTCAAAGTGGTGCGATCACACCCTCTTTTTCAGGAACATACTGACAGCTCAAGAGACATGTTTGTTTTTCTCTGTTGGTGTCAAAACTCATAAACTAAAGTCTAACTTGATACTGTGAAATAATAGTACCACAAGGCAATTTGCACTTTTTTTAAAACCTTTTTTTTTCTTTAGTGTGTCACAGTACCGTCAAGAGGCACTTACTCTGGCTAAAGGGAATAACAACTTGAAGGCAACCCTCTCAGAATTTGAATTCACCATAGAAAGACAGGCCAAAGAGTTAGCAGCCTTGCATTTGGAGCAGAAAGGATTGAAAGAAGCGCTAGCGAAGGCTAATGGGGACAAAGAACGTCTTCTACAACGCTGGATGGAAGAGAAGAGTGAGGAAGCCGACAGGGTGAACAGACACAATGACGTACAGGAAAGGTAAGAGGATGAGATCTGTGTTATTGAGAACGATTCAGACAGCTGGAATGACTCTCGCCACACTTTAGAGATTCTAGTTTGTATTAGTTTGCCATTTTGTCTATTTTCCAGGTGGCAACATCTGGCCAGACAGCTGAAGAGGTACCTCCACAGGGAGAGGAAAAAAGAGTGTGTTCCCACAACAGAAGGCTTTTCTAATCTTTTTAAAGAAACGTCTCAATGAGCCCTTCAGAGTAAGAGTTCCTCTCCATATTTTCATACACAGTGTATATTATACGACACATGCAACCTCACATCGTTGCTACTTTAACAAGGCTTTTCATTAAAACCAACTTAACTAAGGAGTTATAGTAGGTGAGTTCAAAACAACATGGCTGATTTACATATTTTCAATTAGGTAGTTTTAATCTGAAAAAATACATTTTTATATATATATTTATGTGTATACACACGCTCAATGGAAAAAAAAAAAGATCAACTAAGTTTTTAACATGATTTCATGCAGGAAACATAACTGTTTTTTTTCTTTTCTTTGCTTTTTACATTGGCTATTCAGCGGTGTGTTTATCCGATGCTGTTTTATTCTTTACATTTTTTTTTTTTTAAATGAACATATTATGATTAATTTCAATAACTGTAGCTCAATATTTAGTCAAATTGTGTGAACTCTTTGGCTGGAATTTTGACAATACATGACGTTTGAACCTTTTAACCTGCTCATCTTATCCTCAGGGGTCAATAATGCAGTGGACCTGGACACTCGGACTTTGGCCATCCTCCAGCTGCAGGCAAAGTCAACCCCAACGTTCTGCTGTTGTTCCCTCTCGTTCTCATAAAAACATGCCAGCATGAGAGTGAGTTGGCTCATTTTAGGACAAATAGCTTATCTATTTTTTCTTATTTAATTTATGTATATACTGATTTAAAGATGATTTTTCTAGTCTGTATTAATTTATTTGATCATTTGAGCTGTAATAATGAAAATGTGATTTATCACCAAATTCCGTTTTTCCTAGAGACATCAGATAAGTTTCAGTAAACTCAACTTATCTTCACACTGATCTGACCACAGATTTATAAAAGATTCTGTGAAGTACCACAGTCGTGTCTTTGTAATATACTAATGAAACCAGCAGATTCATATAATTTCAAGTTTTATAAATTAATAACCTGATTATTTGAAGTTCATTTTTAATGCGTTTTAAAAGAATCATGAGTGAAAATTGTTTATTAAAATAGAAAAACAGACCCCACCCAATTTGCCATTGTAATTTTCTTTTTTTTATTTGAAAAGAAATAAAGTACTTGTCTGATAATTTCAGCTATTTGCTTAGTCCATTTTGTTACTGAAGATGACCATAACAGCCTAAGTTTAAAAAGAATGTCTACCATGTTATGAAATGCTGCCACTGTAAACAAGTAAGGAGTTTAACTTTCTTGCAGCACTTTATTTGTTCCCATGATGATCCAGCAGATTATTGAAAAACCCCTTTCAACTTTTCCAAATTTGCCGACATCATGTTCGAAATTAGTGCTTATTTTCGGTATATATGAGAAAAATTTGTCTCTTAATTTTTTAAGTTGAGATATTCGCTGATGTAAGTTTGACTTTTTTCCAAGGGTGTAATGCTTTGTAGAGAGAATTTTCTTGTTTCACTTGATCATATTCTTATATTTTACACAGCTCTTTAGTGCGTTTAAGCACAGGATATTTTAAGGTCTAGTTCACTTGCCATGATTTTTTTATATGTTCAATTTTTTAAATCACAAGGAGACGGTCAAACAGCTTGTCTCCCTGTTTTTGTCAGAATTCCAGATCCACATCTCCATGGTGATCTGGGCTCAGGTTTCTGGTTGTTTGTTTTCTGTATGTTTCCATGGCCACAGTTTCATTAGATGTTAAACTGGATTGCATGTTCTCAGTGGGCTCAACATTTCAAACTGTGTCAGAATGGTAAAAGGTGGAAAACGCTATTCTTCTGCTGGCAATGATGGCAAATGGGTAAGGAATCAATCTCATCTCTTCAATGAAAATCGTATAAAAAAAAAAAACTGACGTGTAATTATCTTTTTTACCATTTCACTCAAAGTTTGCCCATGCAGCTCTGCCAGAGTGTGAAACAAGATCTCGTGAAACTTGCACAAGCACCGGGATTATGCTGAATCAGGTTAAAACATCGCTGCCTCAGGCTTTGAATTTGGAGCGCTACCCTAAATGGAAATCTCAGCAGGTGTGTACGTCCCCAACACAATGCTTGGCTCAGCTGTTTTCCACTTTCTAATCTTTGCCAAAGACCTAAAAGATTTCCGTGTGCCTATTCATCTCGGTGTAATTGGTGTGTTTTTTTTTATTTCTAGTAGTTCTGTCTGCTCTGATTTTGTGCTTATAGAAATCCAGAGATTATCCTCTCTCTAGTCATGACAACAAGATTGCCTTAACAAACGACGTCACGGTCTTCTCTCAAGTGAGCATTCAGAGATCATTTAAGGACATTTTTACTCCTCGTAATCCATCGCCACATTGCTTTAACTGGAAAATGCATGTTTTAAATCTCGTCTCAGGGGGCTGGACGGAGGAAGTGTCCAGAAGAGCGCCGACAGAACAACTCCCACTTCTGCCTGTGTCGGGTTGGAGCTGACGGCATCCCTGAAGAGACCAGGAGAGAGCTCACCACCCACCAGGCCGACTTCACAGCCATCACAGGCACCGACGTTCCCAACAGAACTAGGCGGTTCCCCCACAACCACAAGCTCAGGTCTGCAGAGGCAGCTATGGCACAAGCAGAGGGGCACAACATGTGGTTTGGAAGACACGACTCTAACGTCTCAAAGACCCTGAATGTCGTGGCAGCAACCGAGTGCTCATCCTCTTCTCAATCCTAAAATATCTGCATATTTGGGACACCGATAACTGTACACAGAACAGAGACAGTTCGTAGTGGCTCAAATAAAGAGCAGAACTAGCCGTTTTAGGATGAGATTCTCTTATTTTCAGGAAATATTAGCAGAACTGGAGTAAAAGGGCTGCCAAGAAGGGATCATTGTTCAACAACACTCATTTACTTACTCATTTACACTCATTTACCAACTGAAAGTTGGTTGATAATCATCCACTAGTTGTGATAATATTGTGAAATTGTGCACTTAATGGATTACTGAACCACAATGAATTATTCTGATGCTGATCTCAAACAGTAAGTTGTATCTAATGGTGGTTAAAATTACTTCTAAGTACACAGTTCAGATATGATTGAAATTTCTGAATGCCGTGAAATTTTTTTTCTCTTATCTCCATACCATACTTGAAAAGGCTCTCTGATGATGAAAGAGCAAAGCGGCAGCTGCAAGATTTCCCTCACATCGATTTGCAAGTTTAGGTTTCACTTGAAAAAAATCATGAAGTTGACATTTTCCCAATGCAAGACTTTTCTAAGATGCCATTGTAAATATCTGCGTAAAAAGGCAAATTTGATCTTATGAAAAAATGTAAATATAAATTTCACTGTGACATTTCCAGTACATTATAATAACGGTTTACTTAGAAGCACATTATTTTTATCTTGAATTTTCAAAGATGTGTTTGATCAAACAGCTCAATTCTAAAACACTTTTGGACTACAGGAATTTAAAATTCCATTGACTGAGCAGGACTTGAAAATGATACCTATTAATTACAGTCAAGATAGAGCTAGTCATGGCTTGTTGGATTAGTTGTTTTCAGGACTGCATTGTCTTGCTTGTGGTCTATATCGCTCGAGAAAGGACAGAAAACCAAAGTGCCAACATTATGGATGTAAGCTGCCAGTTTGGAAGTAAAACTTTCAGATCCATAACATTGTCAGGCTCTTTGTAGCAATATAGGAATTGTTTAGTTGTTTACTTGTGTTTTGCCCTGCACATTCTCTCCCTGTGTCAGAATGTAGAGTCCAATTTACCCACAGTGTAATTTTGTTGTTCACAGTTCCATCACGTTAGCCTCAGGAAAGCTGTTAGGCTCATTCCTTTCAAATCCATCCCAATTATCAGGCAGTGGAGATCTTTCACAATATGCTTTCATAAATTAATTAGCCACCCTTCATACATTGATACCACAAAGTCTTTCTGCTTGCCTCATAAACAGTTACTATATTGTGTTGATAATAATCGTGCACACAATGAAATAAGAACACTGTTTTTACATTTTAAAAAATGCATTTCGTACTTTGTCTGCGAGTCCACGGGGTAATGAATAGTTCAATTAAATTGGCATTTTATAAAATCATGTCTGTATCAGAAAGTATTCGTAAAATGTTAATTTAGTTGATATGTACTGGACTTCAACACAGCTCTGATTAATGTATTAAATGATCATGAGCCCAGTGTGACTTGTTAGGTCACAGTTTTCCATCAGGGGGCAGCAGACTCACACGTTTTCGTGAGCCCCTGAACTGTTAAAAGGCCAAGTTGTGGATGAAATGTCACAGCAGCCAAAACTCCATTTCCGGCTCAGTGAGTGTGCTCCACCAGTTTGAAAAGGAAATGTTCAGGGGAAAAAAGGAACTAAAACAATTACACTATTTCAATTTTGTATCTATCAAAACATTTTCAAAAGCACTAGAATTAAGTATCTGAAATGAATTCGACTGTATTTAAGATGGATTAGTTTGTTTAAACTCCGGGGATGAAAGGGAAGTATGTTTATGTGTGTGGAACCCAAATGAGAGAAGGAAGCGTGGGAGCGTGTGACAGAGAACACTGCTGAGAAAAAAAAAACACTTAAGTGAAGAGGATACCAGACTATTCTCTCCAATAACTGATGATTTCTCCAGAGTATGCTCTGACCAGCTGCTTTCTATCTCTAAGTACTCACTGGGGGGATGTGTTTTTCTCACAAGCTTTCTTCAGCTGTTGTAATTAGCTCATCCGAATACAGCACTGACCTTGTACAAGTTTGTTTCACTTTTAAAATGAAAAGTAGTTCTTACGACCTCCTTCTTTTTGTTTAATTCACAAAGAACTGGAACCTTTTGTGGTAGGAGATAATCTCGCTTATCAGCACCTAAAAAAAGAGCTTATCACTTGATGCAGGTGCATTCCATAAAGTGTATTCACAGCTCTTTGTTAACCTTCATTTTACCGTAACCATCGTTTTGTTACCAAAGTTCAGTATCCACCCATGCATTACTTATCAATATAACTGTACAAGAAGAAGGAAACGTTCTTTGCTGGTCCCTTGTTTATCACAGGGCCAACGCAGAGACAGACACTCACACATTCACACTCACTTCTGCAGACAATTAAGATCCACCAGTTGCATAACAAACATGTGTTAAGAATATGGGCCTGTGATGGATTACCCAGAGAGAATTCACACATGTATACGGAGAGCATCCATTCATTCTTTCATTTCTTACACCAGGATATTTTGATTTCAAACAACGGGGAGCTGGGGCCTGTCCCAGTCATGACGGGGATGTCCACATCCGGGACAGATCGCCATCGTCCATCAAGGGGCCATACAGATACAAACGAGACACAACCATGCGTGCTCACACTTACTCCAATTGTGAATTTAGAGCCTCCAGTTAACCTAACATGTTTGTTTCTGGGCTGATGAAAAGATGCTGGAGAAGCCGGATGGAACCCGCACATACACACAAAGAACACGCAAGATCCAGACAATAGGAGCCCGGCAAACTTTTGCCTTGAAATGACAAAGCCAACCGCCACACAGACCACTGGCAGAAGTAATAACAAGAGGGGCAGAATTGCACCTTCGTGCAGCATTACGGATTTGCCACCGCTCGAACGACTGCTCTGCACAGAAAACACTTCATAATCAGAAAACTCTCCAGACCTGTCTGAATAGCAGCTTTTAATGCTTCACAGGGGAGTAAGGGCCCTCAAGAGAGCATACTGAAATAGTCTGTCAGTAATATTCCGTGTGTGACATGTTCAGCAAGATGCGTGCGCGTAATATGGTGTTGAGACAAGGCCGCAAGTATATGTAAATACTGTTGTTTGGTAGGGTATCAAACCTTTTTTCCAAGGACAAAAGACACATCTCAGTAAACAAGCATTCAGCCACCAAAGCCCCTGCACCTCATGAATATTAAATCAGACACTTTGAATACTACCTCTTTGGTGTTAGGATGCTCTAGTCTGGATTCTTACCATTTGCAGTGATTTATTCGCAGGTGCATGCGCCTCTTTGATGTGTTGAGTTGAGAGGTTTTGCACCTGTTTGGAAGGGGGAAAAATGCTTTCAAAAGAAGAGGTGGATTTGCCAGACAGTCAGAATAACAGCAACAGAAGGAAGATTTGTGTTGCCATGGTACATTGTGTGCGTTATTTCTTTTCAAACAGGCTGCTGTGCTGTTTTGACATAGTCTGTTGTGTGGAGAAAAAACACTTTTTGTCAAATCAAATCTACTTTTTTTCCCCCCTCGTCAACATTGACATCCTCTCTGACATTATGAAGTCGGGCCTTTCGCATATTGTCTATCATCTATTTCTTAAATATATGACATTAAAGAGAGTTGCTATGGAGATACTGTGGTTAAATTACAGATCTGAAAGAATTATCTTTCTATTTATCCTTTTGCCAAGAATAACTAATTCCAAGGCTCCCTGATTTCCCCATGTTCTTATAGAAATTCTTTATAAAATGTCAATTTTTTTATAAGAATCTGACTTCTGTCTAACATGTCATATGGTCCAAAATGGCCTTCAAGTTGACTCCAGGGTCTGGTTGTTCTATATCCAAACTATAGAGCTCTTTCCTGACTTCACTCGTAGTTCTTCCCATTCTCTTGCTGCCCCTTGGTAGCTGAGTTGTCCTTGTGGCAGTAATGGTCAGGAGCTCTCCAGATTCTGAGTATGGCGATAAAGGTGGCCGGCTATCTCATTTCCACAGAGTAGTAGATAACATCCTGAGAACATTCCCATCACTCGAGGAGTTTGTTCGCTGAAGATAAGCGTTCCCCTGCTGAAGCCCAGCAGGAGGATCCGTGCATGTGCATTTCACTCTTTCCACCAAACAAGCCGGCTGAAATGGAGTACTTTGGTGTGTTTTGGCTGCAGTCCTGTTTCTGCTACAGAGGCTGCATCAAAATCAGACCTACACTGGCACTAAACAACATTCCTCCATGTATTTTTCAAACCTTAGATGCAGTTTGTATGCTAATTTGTGTGTAGGTGGTGAGAACAATTACATTGGGCTGGTTGTGAACAAAGATCTACAGGCACAGTCTGTTCAAGTTTCCCAAAAGAGAAATAATAGTTTATGCAGGAATAGATTAATTATCAATTCATATTTCTTATGAAGAATTGGAAATTTAATTTTTCATCCTTGCTCTGGTAGCTATGATTAAATTGCTAAATACCCCAAAGTAGAAATAATAAGTTAAATGGAAGTCCTGTATCTTCAACATTAGATAACTGATTTAATGTGTTTGAATCATAATTCCTCTAATAGTTTTCTGATTGGTTTTGCCTATACAATGGCCAGATAAAGGTGACATTTACCTATAAGTTTTTATCTATCTGGTCTCAAGATAAAAAAAAACTCATTATATTTTTCAAATGAGAAACAAACAAGCAAACACACTGATCTGCAGTAAAATACCCTCTTTGAACCTATTGAATGGGTTTATATTGAATTGTACAGCTTCCCCACAGATGGAAAATTAAAGATTTCTGTGGTCATTGAAAACTCTGTAAATGATTATAGAAGCTGCTTTCAAACAGGCAAACAGACATTTGTTTTTTCTTTTTAAATGAAAGATTGCCTTTTAATAGGAAAACAACACGATAAAACAATGACAAGACAACAACAGATATTTTCTGGTCGGAGACACATTTCTTCAAACTGAGACTGTCGCTCAGTCTGGCCCCGTGTACGTTATTACCGAGTGTTTCATCAGTACTTCAGTAGCTCTACCTCTTAGTTCCATCAACACCGCTCCATCATGACCACAACATCACAGCATTTTAATCTCATTAGGAAACACGCATAAATCTCTTCCAATCAGCAGCCAGACCCAGCAGCCCTCCGAGCTTCTTTATGCTTCTTTAAGAGAAGGTCATTAATTCAGGAAATCTGATTAGAAATATGTCAACAAGTGAAGCGAATCGCATTTGACACAGTCCTCTAATTGCATGAGACAAGTGCAACTGAAACAAAGTGACATCTGACTTAAATTTTGTTTTCC